CTTCCTTCCTTCCTTCCTTCCTTCCTTCCTTCCTTCCTTCCTTCCTTCCTTCCTTCCTTCCTTCCTTCCCTACATACTTACTGCATACCTACCATTCTTCCTTACTCCCTTTCTACCCACCATCTTTCCTTCCATCCATCCTTTCTTCCTTACACCCCTCCTACTCACCATCCTTCCTTCTGTACTTCCTTCCGTACTTACTTACTCCCTACCTACCATCCCTCGATCTATCCTTTCTTCCTTACTCCCTTCCTACCCACCATCCTTCCTTTCATCCATCCTTCCTTCTTTCAGTCCTTGTTTAGAGATAACTTTTCTATTTAAAAATGTTTCTCAAAAACAGAGAGCCAATATAAAGTAAAGTGTAAACAAAAAAAGCTTTTAAATGTTCGGGAGCCAAAAAGAAAAGGTTAAAGTCAAATGTCCAGATCTTTTACGGAGGAGCAACAGAGCGGCTCATTAGACTGTTTCCACTGGCAGACATGTGTAATTCACTGGGGAGAGGAGGAGACTCAGTGACTTTGACATTGGGGTTTTTGTGTGTGTGTGAAAGCCTTCTGGAATTCAGCCATATTTCAGAGCTCTGCAGAGGGGATTCCTCCAGCTCCACCTTAGACTGTGGACATGTATGAGCTCCAGCTCTATCTCTGCCACTTTGTAGGTCAGCTTCTGTTTTCCTACGTGTCCCTATTGGATTCTGGCCAGATGGGTCCGCACACACAAATATGCAAACATTCACACTACACCTTAATGCCTTTGCCAACAGGAGCAGGGGCACCCCCAGGGACAGCGGCGAGGGTGGGCTGTACCTTGGTGGTGTGTCTTTAGTTTGAGGACATGCTATGAATTGGAGTTTAAACTGTTGACCTGCATCTGAGAGCCTGGTATGTGCACACAGCACTGCCCTGCATTTTCTCCCAACAGGGACTGGTTGAAATCGCTTGTACACAGATGCACACAAAACACCTCCAGCACTTATGCATGCTGACATATGGCGGGGGGGGGGTCTTTCTTGCGCCGACAGAACCTGCAGCTAAAGGTTACATATTGTATACAGAACAGAGATGCTTTAAGTCTGCCTCAAGGAAAACTATTCAGCTTTATTGCTTTGCTTTTAATCTAAAGTGCCAGAGCAGAACAGGAACAACCACATTTACTGCATGTATACCTGGACCAAACATGGAGGTTTTAATTATTAGACAAGCTTAAACATTTTCTTGTTCATTCTGTCCTTCAGCTCTAATATGACAGCCTTTTACATCCATGTTTTTAGATTAAAGTATAACTCTGTGGTCCATAGTGAGAAATAAGCATTTTACTAAAACATAAATGTGCTTTTGTTTTTATTTCTTTTTCTGTAAAGACAAGGAAGCAGGAATCCTAAAAGGCTTTAAAGTTTTCAGCCCCTCCCGGTGCATCGAGGAGTATGCAAAATACCTGAATGTTTCCACAGTTTGCCAACTTACAGATACAAGCCTCAGGATAGTTCATGGGGTTTTTATTTGACAGCCAACAGAAAGTAGGAGATGACTGGGTGGTGGAAGGAAAGGATACACTGTTTCTTTTTTCCATGGGGTGAATTTATTATCAGCCTATCTGAGTCCAAGTTGTGTGGAACCACATTTTGTTCTAGTTCCAGCAGTAGGATGTCTCTCCACCAGCTCAGCATATCAACAAAACTCTAAAGAATTTAAAAATGTGTCCATGCTGATAAGCTTATGATTGAAAAGCAACCCCACAGTATTATACTGCTGCTATCGTGTAAAGTGTGGGATCTCCTTTTTTGACACTTTCCCATTAAGTCAGATTAAAGGAGTGCATAACTAGTAGTCTCTCCTATCTGAGCTGTGAATCACTACTCCTCTAAATTTAATAAAGTGTCATTTCTGGTTAATCCTAGGCTTGTGTTGCATGTTAGCTAAGAGAAAGCACATGTCTTGATTGGATTGCAGTTTTCCCACACTGTTTCCATTTGCAGATGAAAAGCTGAGCAGGACTACGTTGGTCCTCGGATGTTGTTTCATAACCTACCTTCCTTAAGCTTCTCCAAAATTTTTCTGTCTTTGATTATTCTGTTATGCTTAGATTTATACTGAGATGTAAATCCACACATTAGGACTCTTGTTTACTGTGTTTTGCGAGAGTAAACGGGCTAAAATACATTTAACTCTTCACTTTGCCGTTTTTTTTCTCTATAAAATGTTTTAAAACCATGCATCATTTTTGTTTTTTGTCTGTTTTTTTTGTTCATCTCTTTTGTGTTTTGTTTCTTCTCGTTTTCATGCCCTACTTTGTGTTGAGCTATTACATAAAATCCCAATAAAAAATGCAGCGAAGATTGTGGCTCTAATGTGGAAAAAATGTGGAAAATGTCAAGTCATGACCCCTGACTTGGAGGTAAATCTAGGGATAATGGACATTTTCATGGATGCATGCGCTAGCAGTTATAAAAAGGCAATCATTGGCAATCTTTACAGACATTTCACATCTACAGTATGAATAAGGAATCCAGTCTTATATATCAGAGGAAGTTTGGTTACAACTCTGGAGGAGCACTTTATCTATTAAAAACTCCTAAGAATGGAAGACTGTAACAGATTTAGTATTACTCTAAAGCAGAAATCAACACCAAATGGTGCACTCTTCTCTCGTTGGAGGTAGTTTTGGGTTGGTCCCTGCAGATTGCTTTCATGACTGCTGGTCATGTCCCAAGTGGAAGATGTTTTGTAATGATAAGCAAGTAACCACTGAATCCTGGACATAATATTAAACTTTATGTCTTTGTACCTTCGAAAAATCCCAGAAGGACTCTGTAGAAGCAACACATATTGTAGATTTTTATGATTAAAGGCTAGAAAGCAATTACTAAATGACGGCTCCAGCCAAGCCGTCCCCCAGCCAAAAGCTAAAAGAACCCTACAGCCAAGAGCTAAACATAAAGTAAGAAAAAATGTCTGAGGGGTTTCATTACTTTTTTGCAGAGTAGAACCATTGCTCCTCTTCATCAAAAGGAGTCAGCTGATGTGGTTTGGACATCTGGTTGTGTAACCCCTTTGGAAGATTTCCATGAGTATCTCATTCAGCCAAACCTAAAACTCTGCAGTGTGAGAATATTTCATTTCTGGCTTTGAAAGCTTGTCTAAGATGGAAGGTATCTCTGGAGAGAAATGTCTCAGTTTTCATTCTGAGCTTTCTTTGTTTCAAAATGTGGACACATATATGACGTCTATGTAGGGTTTACTTGTCTTGTAAACTTAGCCCCAACATTACTCAATGGGAATACTTCAAAAAGGAAAAAAATATACATTGTTGGTTTTCTTGAAGCCCACATTTGTTTTATCTTTAGGAACATTAAAAATGCATCAATAATTAAAGCTGAACCTCGCTCTCTCTTTGCCAGCAAAGTAACTGGTCTGAGCCTGATTCACCAACATGGCTTAAAAAGCTTAGAGCATATTTGTTTTCAGAGTGGATTTGCTTTCCTTGGATGTATAATGAGAACTATAAACATTAAGATGATGTCTGTCTAAATTTTTCCCCTCATGTTGTTTTTTGCACCAGTACAAGTCCCTGGTCCAGCTCCCAACCTGCAGGCAGTGTCCAACACTCCGACGTCCGTCTCCCTTAGCTGGGATAAACCACTCACAGGCAACGGAGAGATCCTCTCATACAAGCTCTACTACACAGACAGAAGTATCGGTACCGAAGAGGTAAGAGCATCGACTGGCTGCACATAGCAGTCAATACAGGTCTCAATTTCTTTCAGAATGTCTTTTCAGACTAAACAGGTTATTTTGTCCATTGTGAAAAATCATCTAATTCATCTGACTTCTTGGACTAATCAAGGCGATACATAGTTGCTTGTAGGGGTTGTTGCCACAAACTGTTTTCAAAAATATTTTATAACAACCTATTATGGTTTTATATTTCTGTGTAGACATTTTGGCCTGCACTTCTCCTAAAATAGTCCAAACTCAGTTACAATAGATGATTTTAGTCCATGAACTACTGCGGCTGAGAAGTGAAAACATGCTTGAAAACACCAAAATGAGGTTAGTAAACCCAAAAATTAGAATGAAAGACATAGAACTTAGCTAGCAAACACAACGAGGCTAACAATTATAAAACTGGGGCTAGCAAACACCCCATTATGGCTGACAAAAATTTTGGCAAGCAAACACAAAAATAAAACTAGCAATAATAAAAACCACCAAATACGGCAATGAGGCGAACAATTACAGAACTTGGACTAGCAAACACAAAACGAGGCTAAGAAACATAAAACCCAAAAATAAGGTTAGAAATTGCTAAATTTGTTAAACAAACACAAAAATAACACAACACAAACATTTTGCTCTAATTTTGGAAAATATAGGACTCATTTACACTACCCTCTGAAAGTTCCGTGCAGAGTTTGGATCTTAACCGTGCTAGCGAGCTTGGTCGCAAGTAACCGAGCTCGATAGCACGAGGCCTCCTAGTGACAATCTACGATACTACTGTTCTCTAGGATTGAAGGAGGGAACCACACAAATCAAAATGGTGGGGCCCTTTACATTGGGGAAGTTGTGTTTGGTTACATTTGTGATATTTCGTTGTTTGTGGCGAGTCAGGCAAAGAAGGGAGCCTTTGGTGAATTTGCTTGACAGAGTCGACTTTTGAGAAGTGAATTGGACAAACAATACTCTAATCAGGGCATTGAGGTTAATCACATGGTAGGCATCTTACTGATGTGCATTTCCACCAACTACTTGAAGTTGTAAAGTGATGACGTAGTCTGCTCATGTGCTCCTTGTTATCTGAGAAGCGAGCCAGAACTGATCCGCGCCGAGCCCTACTGTTGAACTAGTACCAGTTTAGCGCAGTTGCATCTGGCACGGTCCGGTTCGGTTTGTGTGCCATTTACACTCAACAATTATCTTGGTTACTGTGCTCGGACTGCTCTCGGCATGGTTTCAAAAGGGTTATTTCACCTTTCGGATTCATGAACCTCCATGGACGAGTTTGTCGTTGGATGAAAGAGGTAGGATTTGCCATCAAACTTCTGGCCAGAGAAAAAAACACGTCATATGTAGCTTATATTTGGAAGAAGAATGTTTTCTAGATGACTTGGATAATAGCTTGTTGTCACAAACAACAGGTACAGCACTGGGACTTGCTCAACAGCCGATACCGCACCGTGACGTCACAAACCTGTAGGTGGCAGTAGTATTCTTTGACAAACATGGATGCCTCCAGTAAAGCACATTCAAATGAAAGTTACTCTTAATTAAAAACACTTATAATCTATTGAACAGTATGTAATAATTTTATATTTAAAGTACTTTCTGAAGTTTGAATTCTGAATATGACCAGACTTCTCCTTTAAAACAGGAGATGTGTTAGATCACCTTATGCTGGACCATAACGTAGCAATTAGTTTATTTCCATTTAGCAGCTATTTGATGGTGTAAAGACTTACACATCATTCAGTAGGTTTCCTTTTAGTTGTTTTTCTGTGGAACTCATTCATTCTTGACTCAGCCATCTACCATGCAACTGAACAGAAAGAAAGCATATAGGATTTCCTAGTGTTCCTGCAGCAGTGTCATAAGGGTGTAACATGGATGCTCACATACCGAATAAGCTCCAGCAGCCGCATGATGCAAGCCATTGATGCATTAAAAAGCCTTTAATATGATAATGGGTGAAACGTCAGCCGCTGCGCTGAGTAATGACGCCTCGGTTCCCTGGAGAAGAGAGCTGAAGATGAGCAGGAGAGAGGAGAAAAAAGGTGAACGAAACAGAAATGAAGTTAGAACGACTCAGGGCTGAAAGATATTAATTATTAAAGGGCAAATGGAAGTTAGAGATCATCTATGAAGGACGATGTGGTCACAGGTGAAGATCTGACCCCAAGGTTTGAGTTTGTGATTAGAGTTCTCTGGAAGAAAAATCTCTCTGCTTTTTATTTTTGAAATGTCACGGTTTAAGAGCTGGCTGTACCCCGTCTTAAGTAATTGGGAATGTGGCAGTGGAACCAATTTGTGAAGTAAATCAAACTAATCACAGAAGGGAGAGTTAGTATCTCGGCGGATGACGACATTTTCACACCAAGTTGAAAACAGAAATTAGTGAAGTGAGGCAACAAAATCAGGAACGCACAGCTGCTGGAACTGTCTTGTTTACAGCAAGCTTGTTTTGCATTTAAAGTCAGAACGCTAAGGTTTTGTTTTTGGTGTGTAGGTAGAATCTGTTTTTTGATAAATAAAGCACTTTCCCTGCATGCCTGATCGATATCACTGTATTTTTTCACCCATATCCAACCAGTATTTCTCACTTAATATAATTATTTATACATGTTTTGTTTCAGGATGTTGACATCGATGGTCAGTCATACACCATGGCTGGACTGAAGAAGAACACAGAGTACAGCTTCCGTGTGGTGGCTAATAACAAGCACGGTCCCGGGGTCTCCACGGAGGATGTCATTGTTCGGACGCTTTCTGATGGTCAGTTCATCATTTGAATGGAAAATTTAGACTTTAGGGCTATATATGCTGCATGCATCGTTCAGGTAGTATAACATTGTATTACTTCTTGAGCTCCTTGAGTTATTTACTGTCACAGGTAGGTTCTTCGGCCGTAGGTTAAGGGTTAGGTCCTGTATGATTTAAAGAGGGCCAGCCCTCGCACCCTGAAATTAGGACCGGCCCACCGGGCAAATGCCCAGTATCACAGATTACCAGTCTGAGCCTGGCACTCGCATACAACTAGAGCACTTAAAGACCCTACACCCTATAAGCCATCTGCATTGATCAGCCAACCTGTTTGTACCATATTTCTTGACCTTTCTCACTCAGACTCTAATCAAAGGACCGTCTTGAGTTTGCTATGAACACTAAAGGGCTGGTTATACTTCCCCAGCAGTGTGTCGCAGTTAGCTTCTCACAGGTATGATGCAGATATTTCTGATTTATGCCCAGTTTTGAAGCGTGTTTTGCGCTATTATTCCACGCTACAAAGAAAGAGGGAAATCATGAACTGGCTAAGATTGTGGGTGTCCGTGTGTCGATTTGACGAACTTGTTGGCCGTCTACAACCCCTCATCCAACGCCAGACGACACACAGATCACCCGTGAGTGTTCCCCAAAGACTGGCCGTGGCGCTGTGTGTTTTGGCTTATCTGTGTTATCTGCGTAGACGACCTGGTTTCCGTAAATCCATAAACCAGGCTCACGACACTAATATCAAAAAGACAAAACAACACATGCCATAAATTATGTAGAAGGGTTAGTATGGCTTGTTTCGTAGAGTTTTAAGATAACAGGCTCACTAAAAATATTATTTTACATGATTGCAACTAAACATATTTACACAGCACCCATTAGGCAGATGAGGAGAAAGTAGTGATCTTTGACCTTCATAATATCTGCAGAAAACCAGATTACAAGCATCAGTCTTCAAGCATTGTGTTGTTTTGGGTGAATTTCAGCCATTAAGGTCAAACATGAGCTTCCCTGCACATCAAGGCAGTGCTGGATCATCTGTGAGGCCATCTGTCTGATGGCTGAAGTCAGGCCCAAACTCTGAATCAAACTGTTGCTTTGGCTCAGTCAATCTGAAGCACAACGTGAGAGTATTTAGAGAGCTGTGCTGAAACTGTTGTCTGCAAATTTCCCTTTTGGAAAAAACATTTTGATCTCAGTGAAGCTTAACGTGTTTAAATAAGAGTTCTAAATCATGGTTACAAATAAAAGGGAGATAAAACCCCTGCAAGGTGACACAGGAGCCATGCAAAAAAACAGGGAGATTTGAATATGTTCAAAACTCAATGAAAATGTTTTTTTTTATCATGTTTGTATAAATAAACCTTTATTGAGATTTTTCTGCTGATTATTTTAGTGTTTGAAAAGAAAATAAACAGAAAACTGGTTAATAATAATGACGGCAAGATTCAGGATATTGGGACACATTTATTGTTTCATCAGTTTTTAAATGTATTTTTTTGTAAGTCAGCATTGCTCAATAGAACAGGCTTTAAACAACATTTCTTTCACTTTAGAAACTTTAATTTTATGATGTTTTTTTTTTTCTTCTCAGTTCCAAGCGCCCCTCCCCAAAACCTCACATTGGAAGTTCAGAACTCGAAGGTAAGACATTAAGTAAATAAAGGGGAATATGTCAGGCTAAACAGTCTGTTACAGTTCTGTTTCTGCAGAAAAAAGTGTAAACCTTTACCATTTGTTGCAAATGCCAAAACCTCAAGATTTACAATGAAAACAAATAACCTTAAACACAAACAAATCGAATCCAGACTGTTTATGTAGCTTGTGTCTCCACCAAACCCTGCCTGACTGTCAGGTGTGCAGCAAACAGACACAAACAGCTGAGTAGATTTGTAGCCTGCAGGCCGCAGCGGCCTTTTACACTGTGAGATTAGCTACATCAGAGGCTTCAGCCCCAGTCGGGTGCACAGACCCTGATCGATTCTTTCGTTGACAGGAGATTTGTCTGTCAGAAGGTTTTATCCTGTATCACTCTTGCTACATGAAACCAGGCTTAGAAGCCTACAGCTCAAATATACAGTGGAGGAAAAAAGTCAGCCACTGATTGTCCAAGTCCTTAAAAAGACAAGAGAGGTCTGTATTTTTCATAATTTATACACCCCAATAATGAGATAAAAATGAGGGGGAAAATTCAGTAAATCACATTGTAGGATTTTTAAAGAATCTATTTGTAAATTATAGAGGAAAATAAGTGATATTGATAACCCACAAGTAAGCAAGATATCAGTACTGAAACAACATCTTTAAGAAGCTTTTCTGTCCTCCACTGGTTACCTGCATTAATGGCACCTATTTGAACGTCCATCCAGCCTTCTATCACGCCTATCCCAGCTGGGGTTGTGAGAGGTGCTGGTGCCTATCTCCTGCTGTCTATGGGGGGGGGTTCCACACTGGACAGGTCGGCAATCCATCGCAGGGCAGCAGAGATAAAAAGGACAAACGACCATTCACACCTAAGGAGAATTTAGAGAAGCCAAATAACCTAACAGTCATGCTTTTGGACTGTGGGAGGAACCCGGAGTACCTGGAGAGAACCCACACATTAGAGACTTACACGGGAGTGGATTTTCACTCCTGTCCCGTCCACCTCCCACAGAAAAATATTGTGTCATGTCCCGATCCCGGGCCAGAGAAGAAATCTAAATCCTGTCCCGTCCCACTCCTGGTGAAATTACTCCCACTCCCATCCCGCTCCCATTCAGAATGACTCCCGCTCCTGCACCACTACCATTCTTGTTTTTAAGCGCGGGTGAAAAACTCAGAGTGGAACACTGTTGGTTTTTGGGTCGTGTAGTTTTTTTGACTCGCATTATAGTGTAGGTTTCAAGAAAAAAAACTACAAAATGGCGGCGCCAGTACTGGATTTTTTTTCTTTCTATTTTATTTTATTTTTTGGCATCAATCCTAGTTTTTTTTAGTTAGCCTACTATTGGTTTGCTCCCGCTCCCGTCTGCTCCCGTTAATGTTTAATCCTGTACCGTCCCAATCACGTGATCGTTATTAATACCAACTCCCATCCCACGGGAATCCTGTGACCCGTGGGATTCCCGAAAAAATGTCAGTCTCTACCACACATGCTCATGGAGAACATGCAAACTCCATGTAGGAAGAAGCGGGCAGATAATTGGCCCTGGAAACTTCTTGCTGCAAGGCAGAAGTGCTACTAACTGCCCTACTGAGCAGCCCCCGTGTTTGAACGTAATACCGAAAATCGAAATACCTAAAATTGATAAGGACACTCAGGCCACAATGGACATGAGTCAACATTCACTATGATTTCTGTCTGAAAAGCGCTGGCAGTTGGGCTTCTTACATGTGGGCCTTTTATAAAACCCATGTTTTGGGCTTCATAAGATAGAGCTACAGCTGTTCGCTACATTTGTGTAACTTTTTTTGTAGTTCTTTTTGGGAAATTTGGCAAGTGTTAGTCATGTGCGTGTCCAATTCGTAATGATGCCCATAAGACTGAAAGCTGTCAGGATTCAGCACAGCTGTTCAGAGCTCCTTTCCTACCCTGGATGATGTTCCTACTGTGGACCTGGTGGAAGGTAAAGAGATAGGAACTATGATCAGGTATTCATATTGAGCCTCAGACTTCACACTCAACTGTGGCCAAGACCAAAGAGCTTTTGAAGGAATCCAAGAAAACAATTGGACCTGCAACAGGCTGGGAAGAGTTGATCTACAGTAGCCAAGCTAGTTGGTAAATAAATTACAGCTGTCGAGGGACTGGAGGTAAATGAAGACATACAAGACCATTGATAATATCCCTCGATCTGGGGCCACAAGATTCCGCTGGGGTCAAATGCTATATTCACACTGCAGCCTGAAGTGACCCAAATCCGATTTTTCTGCTCATATGCGACCTGGATCTGATCTTTTCATGGCAATCTGAACACCACAGATCCGTTTTTTTTCCCAATATGCACCAGGCCACTTGGCTCTGTGGTCCTGAAACCGATGCAAAGCTGATTTTTTCAAATGCGTCCTGTGTCTGAACCACAAGGGCGCATTCATCCGACCTGAACACCATTAATACCCGACAAAGGTCACTATTCTGCATCTTCCTATTAAGAAGCGCCAAGAAAAACAACAACCATGGCGGACGATGATGCGGAGAGCAGTATTTATTGTTTAACCATCTTGAAAAGATTGTGTTTTTATGGTTGGGAAAGATCGCTAGATGCGCTCCGGCACTACCATCCATGTTTACTTCCATAAACACAGAGCACACTGGCATGTGATGTCATTGCGTCCTCTACTGCGCATGCGGGACACTTGCGTTGTATGACTGCAGTTCACACAGGAGATCACATACAAGTCGCATATATTTGGAAATGTGAACGGCAACGCAAAAAAATCGGAATTGAGCATCAAGGCCTGCATTGTGAACGTAGCCTAAATGATAATGGGAATGTTGATCTAAAATCCCAAAACTACAAAGAGGGACCTTAAGAATGACCTTAAGAGAGCAAGGATGAAAGGAACAAAGGCTACCATCAGTAATACACTAGACCGAGAGGGACTGAGATCCTGCAGTGCCAGACATGCCCCCCTGCTTTAGGCAGTACATGTCCAGGTCAGTCTTAATGATCCTAAAGAGGTTTGGGAGAATATCATGTGGTCAGATGAAACCGAGGCAAAACTTTTTGACACAAACACAGCTCTCCATATTTAGAGGAAGAAAAATGCTCAGTTGCATCCAAAGAACTTATTGTGAAACATGGGTATGGAAACATCATGCTTGGGGACAGGATGACTGATCCATGTGAAGCGAAGAATGATAAAGCTATGTTTCCTTAGATTTTAATCCAAAACCTCCTTCCATCTGTGAGAGCATTGAAGGTTGAATGTGGCTGAGTCTTCCATCATGATAATGATCCAAAATACACAGCTTGGGCAACAAAACAGTGACTCCTTTAAAAGCATTTTCACAATGAAAATGGCAAACCTCTCATCCTTCTACGTAGGAGACCTTGCACAATCAGTGACCAACCAAATACTTTTTGCCCCCCTTGTATTGATACAAGAACAGCAAAAGGGATGCTTTGGCAGCAATTTTCTGAGATAATTACTTTTCCCCCTACTGAGTATCATTTAAAGCAAATGTCTATATGTTGGTGTCCTTAATATTTAGTTTCCTTATAATTTCTAATGAAGAAAATAAACTATTTATGGCACTGGTTACTCACAGTATTTGCTTGTGTTGTTGCTACATTTCCTGCATTAACAAGAAGTCAGACTGTAGTTTTTGTGGGAAGTTCTTGATTGGACACAGCATCCAGAGGTGGCTTCTAGCTTTCGGGTGCCGATGCTATTAAAAGTCAACGCAGTTCTCGGCCTCCCACCGTTTTAGCCATTTGATCTTCAAACAGAGAGCTGTGGGCCTATTTATTGTACATATCCACCAGGGTGATGGATTAAAATTTACAAAAGCTTTCTCACTTCTGACATGTGAGACAGCGAGCTCAAAAAGGAATCTACAGAAAAGAAAGAAAGATGGGCAAAACCTCAGGGTGCATACGGATCGACTTCTGAAGCAGCAGCCAGCACTCAGCCCTACTGGTCGATGCAAAGCCCGGACTGGGGGGTGGGGGGGGTGCTGACAGACAATCCTATCGCAGCCTCCCAGCTTGCGTGCAAACTGACCACCCCTGCTGAGGCGTGCTGGGCTGAGTGTTTTGGTGGGAAAAAAGCCTTGCACAAAATTAAGAGTGAAAAAAGGGAGCACTCAAGGGAACAGTTTTATGAATGGATAATAAAGGCCTAGAAAAAGCCAATATGAAACAGACTTAAATTGTTATTTTCTTTTCTTTTGAATCTGCATTTTAGCTTTTCCATTAAGAACTAAGCAGTGAGCTGTGCATTAAAATAGAAAGATAAATAAGAGTTTTCTTTTTTCTCTCCAGGCTCTTCACATGCTAGCATGTTGTGGCCATACGTCTTTTGTTTTTCATTTTCGAATTTTAGCTCATAATCCAACAAAAAGTTTTGCAAAGTGATGAAATTGAGGAATAATTACACAACATTTTCAACTTTTTTCAAATTAGAAATCTGAATTGTGTGTCTTGCATTGAACCGAGTGAAAAACCAAGTAGGGCCTCCATTTACTGCAGTAACAGCTGCTGGTCTGTATTGATATTCTGGTGAGATATCTCCTTTCTTTCCGTCATGAAAACTTTACGTCTGGGTGTAGAGGTCAGTTCAACTGACTGCATTACCCCCCCTTAGCATGCTATAGGAAGCTGCCATAGCTATAAACCCCTACTTATTTATTCACTTCCAGAGTCAAAAGGGGGCATCTAAAACATTCAGAAATACATTTAATTCAATTCAGTTTATTTACATAGCACCAATTAACAACACATCATTTCAAGGCACTTCACAGAGACAATTTAATTGGATCTTGCAGTCAGATTGGTTTTCTATCTAAGGAAAACCAGCTTATTGCAGCGACTTATTGACTCTTCAGCAATCCCTCAAATCAAGCATGCATGTAGCGTCAGTGGAGAGGAAAAACTCCCTTTTAAAAGGAAGACACCTCCAGCAGAACTAGGCTCAGCGTGAGCAGCCATATGCTGAGGCCGGCTGGGGTTAAGTGAGAAAGGAGACAAACAAAACAAACATAGAAGCACTGATCTATAAATACTCTATGTTAGAAAAGGTAATTGTAAGCTAGCTCCAGTAGGGGCAAGCAGATGAACTCTGAGCCAGTTGCAATGTCAAAGGGCTGAAAAACAGCACATACAGTTAGTCACAGTACAAGCTGAGCACAAAGCTATGTCAAAATCAGGACTAAGCACTGAAAAACAGTCCGAACTCTATCATCTACAATCTAGGCATTGTCGGCTGCAGCCCGGCTGATATTTATCTGCAGAATGGTGTCACAGCAATAGAGGAACAGACCAGATGAAGCTACTATGACAGGAAAAGCAGAGAGAACATAAAGTTAGGGGTTGAAATAACAAATACTGCAGAATGGGAGAAAAGAGATAGAATAAAGCACAGTGATGAAAAGTGTTCCCCATGTCCTCCAGCACTCTAAGGCTACAGCCGCATAACTAGCAGAATAACATTACATGTTTAATTACACACAAGATGGCCGATTACTTTCTTTCAACAATGATTTTCAGTTTATTTATATAGCACAAATTCACAATACATGTCACCTCAAGGCAATTTACTATTAACTGATCTTCTACCTGAGCTGTGGATATCTACAGCTGACCCAGAGTTAATTTATGCACCTTGTTATGTTTTTACATGTTTTTTACCCTACTCCGTTCATGTCCAGATGGATTGTTGGTGCAGTTTTTAGAAATGTGATGGATGTTTTGGATGTAATAATAAAACCTAATCCTGCTGTAACTTCAGCATATACCTCCCCCTGTGTTCTTCTAACTTTGCAATGCTGATTGTTGGTTGTTTACTGACGTTCTTTAAAAAAACCTTCAGAGCGTCAAAGGTTTTAATGGGTGAAAACATGAAAAATCTCATGTAAATGCATCCTCCATAGATCCCTAGACGGAGTTCTTCTCCGTCACCTGTAGGGCGAAGTGAGAATAATGTGTTTGTATTCTTTTCTATTTTTTGTCATCTGCCGTTAACCCCCACCCCCCCTCCTGGGAGTTCACAAAGTCAATTAAACGTGTTTCAACGATCAAGGCGAAGATGAAAGAAAGGCAACACACATCCCTGTTTAGTGGTCCATAGTGTAATAAGAAAAATGGAAATAATTGAACACACTTAACCCAATTTTAATTTGTGAGATTCCCTCGACTCTGCAGGGGTGGAGCTTGCCGTGTACTCAGGCTCTTTGTGCATCAGTGTGACAGTGAGAGAGTGTTAATTAACTGTTCTCCCATGCTGAGCTGCCCCCCCCTTCAACATCTATCGCTTAAAACACACAGAAACTAAGATGACTTCATCCAGCAACAGCGCAGCCTGCTAACAAAAGGTCCAAATTCATCTCTGACTCTCCAACTGAGCATCTTCAAACCCAGCTCTTACCTAGCTCATCAGGGTTCCCCCTTCGGTTATTTATCTTTATTTCACTCGTAATGCATCGGTTGACACCGCTGCTCAGAGGGGTGTTTGCTTATGTCAGACCCGGCTGTTTTTGCTCCCCTGGCAGGAGGAAGGGAGGTGCAGAGTAGGAAACCTGGGGAGTTGCATTAACACAAAAACACCCCACAGCGTTCGTTTGAACGTGGGACACTTCCTGCATAAACTATGAGGTTCCCTTTTGTAAATGCAGGCTTTAAATGCACTAAATAAGACGTTTGGCTTCTGAGTCATTTATTTCCTGCTCTTACTTTTTCAGAGTATCATAGTTCGGTGGCAGCCTCCTCCGCTCAGTGGCCAGAACGGGGAAATCACCAGCTACAAGATCCGCTACCGTAAAGTTTCCCGGAGGAGCGAATCAGCTGTGACCACAGCAGGAACTGAGCTTTTCAAGCTCATTGATGGTAATGTTTCAGTCCTTTGTTCACCTCTGATAATAGATGTTATAACAGTGTTATTAGGTCACACAGACCAGGTACAGCATCCCCTAACGCCGAGCTTATTCTGCAGGTTCTCTATATGATCTAGGTTTAGGATGCAGAATAGCTATAAAGGATGGTTAATTTGGTGTCTATTAAACAAATTCTGACTAGATCTAATTATATAGTAATTTTTGGTAATTATTCTGCTGAAAGAAATAATGAGGATCCATTTTTAGTTAACAGTTCACGGCCACCAGATTTTTATTTTAAATCTCTTAAGATTGTAGAGAGTTCATGTTCTCTAACAAGGTCCTAAGGGCCTGTGGATGGGAAATTGGTCAGCAGCATTATTGATCCTCAACTGTATATATCCATACCATATATTCATCTTTTGTTTTAAACTTCTCCCAATTAAATTTTTTTCCCCCATTGAAATAATCAGTTTACTCTTATCTGACCAAAGCACAGAGTTCCAATTAAAGTCCAGATCATATTTATAACTTCACATATCGTTGTAAAAATACAGTTTCCCTGTAAAACCTCCTAAAGAACCAGTCGTGGGTGTTGGTATACCTTAGTTACTTTCTTCCAAACTGTTTCTGGAGGAAACATAGTTTTGGAGACTTATCCATGTTTTCCAGCTGTTTAGAGCATTTTAATTATTTCTCTGACTCAGGATATGTCACCTTAGGTGAACTACTATTTATTGTTGCTATTGCCTGATTTATACTTACTCAACTGGAAGTTTTGTCCTTCCTAGCTAAAATTCCAAAAAAGTAAAAAAAATAACAAGTTTAAAGACATTTTGCTTCCCATCCAGGAAGCTTTTTCAATTCAAAATGTCTGGATTAGGGCTAAACTCCAGGCTTTATAGAGTGCACCAACAAAGCCTTGTAATGGCTTAGAAAACATGCAAATTGATCTAAAAGAAAATGTCCACCATTTAGTACTGGAGAGTTGTTGAGTTTTTTTTTTTGGCCTGCAATACCCGATACTGACCCGTGCCTGAGAAAAGGGGAGTCATTAGGGGCGTTGTTTGCCTGGCTGACCAGGTGAGATGTTTTGCAATGGGGGTCGAGATGATAGCGTAAAGAAATCAACACTATCGCTGTGTTGTAGGTTTTAGAGAGCGGAAACGTGAGTCCACCCCCTCTGTTTAAGGTGGACTTTTCTCTCTTAATATAAACAGCTTCCTTTGCACCCCTTTAAACCACCTGTCTTCTTTGTCTAAAATGTAAACATTATGGTCATCAGACAGATGTCTTTTATCCTTAAGATGTAGATGGACAGCCGAGTCTTGTCCGGAGGAGGTAGCCCGTCTGTGTTGGGCCATGCGTCTGTGGAGAGGTTGTTTGGTTTCTCCAATATAAAGATCAGAGCATTCCTCCCTGCATTGAACTGCATACACCACTCCACTCAGATTTGGTCTCCCTAGTTAGAAGTAGGGAATTTTCCATAGATAATTCACTTCTATATAAAGAGTTAATGTTTTAAGAACTATTGCTAAACATGATTATGTCTTAAAAGCAGTTTTGTCTCAGACCAATATATGAATATATTTAAAATAATAATGGGTGTTTTCTACAACTTTCAGTCAGACCCTTGAGGGCTTGCTCTCATATCAGCTCTGCATGATCCGCTTTGTTGTTCCTTTTTGACTTTATGCAATTAAAGGCAAAGGCAAAGGAGGCAGCAAAAAATATTTTTTTCAATGGAAATCATCAAACAATTTCAGGTAGTTTAATTGCTGACTTAAAATTAAAAAATATCTACACAACCTGGGGGTTTTTGCAGTCGTATCTTTTGTTTTTCATTCATACATTAAAAGCTGCTAAATCACTTTTCCATTTGAAGAAACCAGCTCTATTGCGCACACAGGAGCTCCTGTCTGTCTTGGTTTGTATTTCCCACCTGTGGACAGTGTGAAGGTAGTGATTGATTTTTGCTGTTGACTTAAAACTTTTGACGGTTTTGGGTTTGTCAGTTTAATCCCTTGGATGATTTGCAGTTTGTTCTTGTTTCAGGATCAAATAATGTTATGATGTGACATAAGTTATATAACGTAACCTAATTCTAATCTAGGTTTTTGCATCCTGAGAGATTTTTGTGTCCCCATGTGATGCTTTGGATATCCTAATGATTAAATCTTTCATGCTATCAGACACTAGTTTCTCCCAGCGAAACACAACTGTCTGCTGCAGCTGATGTGCTGTAATATTTAGAATCCAAACTCCTGATGAACCTGATGTACGCACTCAGTCGGATTGTATGTCTGAGCCTCATCTAAACGCATTGAATTAAAGTTACAAGCCTTGTTATGTAAAGATTACACACTGTTACCAGCCTCATTCTGCACAAAATCACCAGAAAGAGGCGCACAGCAACAGTGATTAATATTAGATGTTGTCTCAGCAACTTTCAAGTGGCCCCGCCTCCCGCTGTGCGCTGCATCAAAGAGAATTTACACTTAAAAGTTGATTTTGGAGAACACTCCAGGGGGTGAAACAGGGTGGTGTTTGTTGGTTTAGAAGCGTTATGAAAGATGCGTTGTTGCCTCGGAGGCATATATGGTAAGGCGGTCTTTAGTAGACCCCCTCAAGGGGGAGCGGTTGGGTGAGTGAGTAAAGCAGTTAGAACAGAGAAATGACTAGAGAATTAGAATGGAGCCTACAAATAGCACAATATGATGACAATGACGGATTTTATTGCAAATTGATACAGAAACAGCTCATTTGTCAACAGGCACATGTATGAATACTGAAACCTGCAGCCCTCTCAAAGGGAGATATCCCTATAAAATATGAATCAATGTGAGGTGCAACATTTTTTTATGCTCTCTGGAAGCCCAGTTTTCCTTTTCGTGTTCATCTCTGGATTTTAATGGTTTAGATTTTATTTTTTTTTAAGCACTGAAACTTTGAATAAAGCTGAAATTTCAACCTTTACTCTTTTTTTATTTTTAAATAAACATTTTACATAGAATATTCCCTGCACCTGAGCCCATCTAGCTTTATCCATCCCGGGGCAAGCTGAGAGACGCTCACCCCTCCTGCTAAGTTGTTATTTTTCAGAATATTTACTTTCCTCTGCAGCGATTGTCAGTCTGAGAAGCCCCCGTTACCGTGGCGATGGAAGCTCAGGATCACCAGGCTGCCCCTGCTTACCCCTTTACTGCACATTGACGTTCAGCTGGCTGAAAGAGGACTTCTGTGTCTTCTATTACTTTAAGGGAACAAAAAAAAAAAAACATTCAGCTTTCAGGAAAATCATTGACAGTTAAACCATAAAATTAAAAAGGACTTTATTAAGGCAGCAAAAGTCCAAGCCAGCTCATGGATTGGTAATTCTAGTTAAAAAGCATCGCGTGGGCAACAGTGTGGCTTATTACGGAGACCTCCAGGCACCACGCATGATCTGGAAAACAAGAAATCACTGATGCTTATTCAGAACCAGCTTCTAAAAATAAATGGTGCTGAGAATCATCTGTTTTTTTTTAGCTGATTTAGTGAGAAAACCCTTCAGGAGGCCTATTATGTTTTATTTAATTGATTGAACACCTTTACACAGCTCTCTAAATTATACAAAAACAGACTGAGGTGCTGTTATATTAATGTTTGGTTAATAAAAATAATATGATCAACATCAATAGAGAAAGAACTTCAGTTAGAATTTAGTAACTTTTGGTTCAGTCAGAAAATATACATTTTTTTCCCCATGTTTCAGGATGCAATCTATCAGAAAATCTGACAGTGAAAAGAATTAAAGATTAGGGTGATGGTGAGGAGGTCTTCCAAACGCAGATGTAGATTTGGTCATCAAATATAAAGAAGGTTATGGATAATTATTTACATGGAAATGAAAACTTTAAAATATTTCTTCAATTGCTCATCCTTATAATTTCTGTTGACTTCACAGAGATGTTTCTTTTTTCCTTAAAATCAAACTGCTCAGTTAAATGAAAACAAATTTTAATTTTAACATGAATAGATATAAAATAATGATGATAAATTTTATTTCAAAGGCGCATTTCTGGACACTCAAGGTCAACGTACAAAAGATAAAAACACAATGGCAGAAACAAAGTCAAAAGACAGACTAAAAAAACATTTAAAAAAGTGCACAGGCTGTAAAAAAAAAACTCTGGGCACGCTCACATTTATTAATATATCTTGAAGGGTTCTATATTTTCCCACTATCATTTAGCCCGGTTTGCACTATCTTGGGGAAGGAGTTTAAATCTGAACACCACATTTATAGTGCATTTTGGAGAAAATTGATCATACATTAAAAGCTGGGACTTAAAGACTTTGGACTTTTTTTTTTTAGGAAAACTCATTTCAAATTTGACAAGTCTAAGTTTCACCGTTTTAGAATAGTTTTGCTTAAAACAGAAAGTTGTTTACCCCTCTGCTGAACCTAAAGCCAGCTGCACTGTTCTGCTGGTTCACGATTATTGGAACAAAACACTAATAAAGCCCGCCTCAGATTTCCAGAATGTTTTCATAAAAAAACAAACCTTTGCTAAGTCTGAGTTTCCTATTTAGGTCTGGAGCCTGGGACCGAGTACTCCTTCCGAGTTTCCGCTGTGACTGTAAACGGGACGGGACCAGCCACCGAGTGGGTCCCAGCAGAGACATTTGAGAGCGACCTGGACGGTAACCAGTCTCAGCTAAACCAGAACCCTTTTGTGTGCTTCTGCTAATCAGAGTACATTCAGATCTGCCCTAAACTCCTTTTCCTGCATTTACTCCCAACAGAAACCCGTGTACCGGACCAACCCAGCTCGCTCCACGTCCGCCCGCTGGTCAACAGCATCGTGGTGAGCTGGACGCCGCCAGAGAACCAGGACATCGTGGTGCGGGGCTACACCATCAGCTACGGCATCGGAAGTCCCCACGCTCAAACCATCAAAGTGGACCACAAGCAGCGCTACTACACCATTGAGAACCTCAGTATGAACACTACATTTATCTGCATGGTTCTCATTCTGGAGACGCCACTTATTGCTCAGATTGGTTGGATTTTTTTTACTTCCAAGAAATTAATGATGCTTCTTTTGGTTGAAAACATAATCAGGTTTGATGATCATTCACGAAGCGCTAATAAGATAATGATAAGACCTTTGGGACTCTTTGTCTTTGTGCTGAATATGGATACTTGCCGCAAACATGTTCCTGGGAAGGTAAACATGTCAAGTCTGATGTGTTACATAGCATTTAATCTACTAATGAATGAAGAAGCAGATGCTGTCAAACGGTTCATTCCTGCTACATAGTGGATTCTTTGAAGTGAATTAGATCTTCTCTTACTACCGAGCCACTAATTACACTGATTGGACTGATGGGGACACACTCGTTAAAGGTCAGCTCGTTTAATGCTCCCAGGACAAAAAGGGGTATCAATTAAACAAAAATGTAATTGAAATTTCAAATTTGATTTCTGTAATTTTAAAAAGATTATGTTTTACAGGAAGTAAAAACCCAAAAATTTAGATTTTCTGGGAAAATTTGAAACAGATGAAGCAAGGCTTTTTAATTCAGAAATGTTTTATTGTTGAATTATTAAAAAGTAATTTTTGTGAAATACTGATCAAAGACAAAATACCAGCATCACTGTACTATACTTTAACTATAAACATGTTTACTTTGGGCCTTTCTTCTTCCTCAACACTCTTTTACCTGGATTTTTAAATAAAGGGCGAAATGTAACTTTGTTTCAAGAAGAGAATGTTTGGCCACTGTGTAAAACTCCACTCTTATTTCTCCTTAGCTCAGCCAGGCTCATATTCTGACCTTATCTCTAGCAAAAGCTTAACAGAAGGAATATAAATGTTGCATCTTTTCCTGGATATGTCCCACAATGGTGGCTCTTGAAGCTCCAACTCCAGCCTCCATTCAAACCATGTGAATCTCCTTCAAACTCCTGAATTCAATATCTTTCACAATCCTCTACAGGCTGCAATTATCTCTGCTGTGTGAACAATTTTTCCTTCTACTAAACTTTCCACCCAGCTTTACTAAACAGGATGTAAATAATCTATTAGAACCAAACATTTTTTAGTTTTTGTCAATATTTTGATTTGCTGAGAACTTTATTTTAGGAATTTCCTTCATTTTACGCCTGAAAAAAAACAGTAATAATAAATATTAGTCTTTGTTTGGTGAGTCTAAACAACATTTAATTGATTTATTCCTAATCTATTGAGATGCTGTTGGATTTCATCTTTCAGAACCTTCTAGATTAGTTATTTTACGTCATAATGATGCACTAGACAACAGGATTTACATGTTCTCTTTACAGGAAGCAAAGAGTTCAGACATATGCATTAGTGATCTGATCATTGTTTGAAAAACTAGGACAGTGTCCAGAAGCAGGTAAAAAAAGTAGACAAGCAGTGTTGCAAATATCCCATCATGCATAATAAAGCTGTCATGACAATCACTGCAAGTAGAGCGAGTGTGTTTAAATATTCCTTGTGCTAACTGTGCAATAATGAGTAGAGAGTCTCTGGAGTTGGGCTTGATTAGACTGGCTGTATCGGTTTGTCTCCCTCACTGACCTCTGTCTCTCCTCCTACAGACTCCGGTTCCCATTATGTGATCACGCTGAAGGCCTTCAACAATGTGGGGGAGGGGATCCCTGTGTACGAGAGCGCAGCCACCAGGGTGCAGTCAGGTATGAACTGCACACACCTGCAGCTTTTTACACAAAATAAACAAAACAAAAACACCCTTAATTACTTAACTGTAAATGAGAAGGAAAACAGTGGAGAGAAAATTTCATTTTGGAGCTCAGCTTCCTGCTCCTGATCACAGACGATAAAAAGGAAGTGCTGTTCACGCTTCTCTGGATTCAGCTGACATTTTTCTCGTTGCCCTCTCGCTAACCTGACATCATTATCAGACTCGGTGTATCTCGACTCTAAATTACTGAGCAGAAAATGGGTCATCAGTCTGTCTCGCTGCTTTAATTAACTCTCTTCACAGCGGCAGTAAGTATACCCAAGTCTCCCTTTAATCAGATGACCTGGGTCTTAGTTGCTACACCTATGTTAGCAGATCTGATTATTAGAACAGGGAGCACATTTTGGAATATGGATTTGAATTTGCAGACAGAAATGTTACAGAAAAGCTTACTTTGCAAAGGAGATGAGCTCCATAGGAATCAGACAGTGTTTCTATTGGTAATATGAAATAAACAGAATCCATTGCAATAGTTTTCCTCCAGATGTTACCTTAATAACCAAGAATTCTGACTTTTGTAAAGCTTAGGCTCAGAATACATTTGACCGGCTGCTCTATAGAAGAATGTCTGAGAACATTAAAATAAAACACATCATAAAGACCAAGAAATGCAGCAGATGGAGCAATGTGGAACTCTGGAGGAGCTTCACAGCTCAGGTGGGAGAAAAGGAAAGATAGTAAGCTGGTCAGGGGTTAAAGGCTATAGCTAGATAATCCTGGGAGAAAAATCCGTTGGCAGCTCTAACGACATCACAGCCAGAGCGGCAACAGAAAGGTATAGAAATAGATTGAAATGACGATTACATGTAAGTTTCTAAAACAGTATTTAAGGAAGGCAAATTGTTGCAGTTGCCCCTTCAGGGTGAGTGAGCCTTAAGGGCTGGTTATACTGCTGCAGCAGCATGTCGCAGTGAGCTTGTCGCAGGTATGACGCAAACATTTTTGATTTATGCTTAATATTGAAGCGTGGTCTGCGCTATGCTATTCTACGCCACAACGCAAAAGAGGAAAATGAAAAAATAGGCGGTGAGGAAGTGGGGGCAAGTTTGTCCGACAACGAAGGGACATGAGGGCGAAAAAGATCAGGGATTCAGGTGGAAAAAGGGTCCCTGCGTTCTCGCGCACTCTGCTGCCTCTAGATGTTGCGACTTGGTGCTCGCTTGCCATGTTTTCCACACAGATCAGTCTGCGTAGTTGCAAATTTTCTTAGGTGCTCCATGCGGCCTCGTGGACGCATCAAGCGTAAATAGACATATTTAAAAGATTTTCAATTTTGTTTGAGGATGCAACAGAATGGCCTGAACCATCTAGTTTAGCCTCCTAATATCCACCTCATTTCTGGGAAATTCGCCTATTTGCATACCCAAATGGAAAAGCAAATAACTGAGGAACTGAATGCCCAAATTATATGTGTGATACATTATTTGAAAGCTAACACCCTCTAGTTTCTGAATATATACATGAGAATTGGGTGAGTAAAACAAAGAAGCTGCATCAAGCCTGACTTGCATCAGTTCAAACATGACTCAAAGTCGGGGGGTTTTATTCTCGAAAATATTAGGTCTTTTTTGAACAGCAGTAATAAAGACATGCTTGCTTGTTGTGGCTGCCTTGTCATGCTACATTTCGACATGCTGCTATGATTGTGCTTTGGTGCTTGCTATGTCCATAAAATTAACTAGGTGGTTGAATTGTGGAGAATCTAAGCTTCCAGCGATGTCTAACATGTCTATATTGGTAAACATTTTACCAGTGTGAATTTCATGCTTTCTGAGTTATTATTTGTAAATGCTTTAAAACCGTGTTTTTTGAGAGGTTAGGGGTCTGCAACCTTTTAGATCCAAAAAGCCATCTGCCCTAATAAGTTAAAGTCATTTAGAGCCAAAAATATGACAAGATAATAAAACAGTTTATTTTATTATTTTGTTTATTTTTATTTTTAGCTTTAAAACCTACCGTAAACGGTAACGATTCATAAAGATGAAGAACAGATTTTCTTCTATAGGGTATTATTTGATGTAAAAAAAATAATAATTAATTGAACAAATAGAAAGAAAAATAGCTCTAAAATCATATTTCTAGTCTATTTAATTTCATTCTGTTGTTAAAAATTGGTTTAGAATTTTCTTTAAAAGCATCTAAAGCCTCGTTTGGCTCTTTCAAGTGTCTCAGAGCAGCACAGTCTTGTTATCCAAATAATAAGGATCGTCGTTATCTTCATCAAGCCTCACATCTCAACCCAGTTAACAATTAGAGGCAGAGTTAGGGTCCCAGGCCATAGTGCCTGAGAGTGCAAACCCTGCCAGTTAGATCACATGTTGGCTGAGTTCATGCAGTTTGTGTGACAGTGCAAGAAGGCGAGTAGCGCATGCTCCCCGGAGCGTCCCAGAATGTGGTCTGCGCCCGCCTCTCCACTCAGCCTTGATCGCTGCAGTTTGTCTCTGCTGCAGCGCTATTGCAGCACGGAACACAAGAAGGGCGGGATGCCTGATGACATGAGTCACATCAACACGCTTTCAGAGGCGGAGGGGGGCGAGCATGTGTATGAGCAGGCAACCCACACACTGTCAGAGCGCACCCCTCTCTCTAAAAAGCTCCCCTCTCATCGTAACTCCTTCTTTGCACTCATGCAGACCCCCCGTGGTGGCTCTGGCAACCCCTCCGTCAGATCCAGAGCAGAACCAAAGCCCACCACTGTCGTCTTCTGCCGAATTCTCCGGGGGTGCGTTCCCTTCCTGCCAGTTTGTTCAAGTCGGAATTAAAAAGACGGGCTGACCTACATAGTACTTCACTTTGGAAAAAAGTGAAGGAAAACTTGGTGAACTTGGGCTGAGAAGGAGCTGTGCTCAATACTGTGTGACGGCGACGTCTTTAACCGAGACGCAGGGAGCGAGGGAGGTTTTTTCCTTCACATGTAGAGTTGCAATTTTTTTCCATCAGGTCACTCTGTCCTGCAGGGTGTTCACACTGTAAATACTGCAAAGCTAATTCTTCAAAGCTGGCTGAAGAAATGCCATTTTAATACCTCAGGGCCCGTCTACAACCACATGAATGCTTGGATTTAGAAAATGCATAAACACACACACACATTCTCTGCTTATGTAAACTCCCATCGACTTCCAATGATTTTAGTCATTTTAAACCCTTTCTATACCTTATCTATTACAGTAACCCTAAATCTGACCATTACCAGTGTGTACCTAACCCTAAGCCTAACCTAAACTCAGTTCACATCTTATTCATAAATCTAGGAAGCAAGGGCCAACAAAATGACCCAACTTTTGTACAAATGGTCCTTAATGTAATGGTGAAATCAGAAAGCCTAAAAGCTGAATTATACTCTGAAACCAGGTCATCTGCGTGTGCGTTGCAGTGAATTCAAATGTGCCCCCGCCCCTTCTGCAGACACTCTGGTGCACCTCTCCAAAATTGTAGGTGACCTCAGACAGGAGGCCTCTGATTGGTCAAATCTATATCCGCTCTACACTATGCGTATTCCTGTTTGGTACCTTATCAGCTTGTTTTGTTTGTATGAACGCCATTGTTGAAAACAACACGTGAAGATGGACCAGCGCAGGGATCCTTTTTCCACCTGGACCCCCGCTCTTTTTCGCCCTCATGTACCCATGGTCACACAAATTTGCCCCCACTTCCTCACCGCCTCGGCCGTATCTAGACCCACAGCTAATTCGTGATTGTCCCTCTTGCATTCATGGCATAGATTAACATAGCACAGAACGCGCTTCAATATTGGGTATAAATCAAAAATATCTGCGACAAGCTCACTGCGATGCACTGCTATAACCAGCCCTTAACCCTGGTCCTCACTCTGCTGCCAAAAACAAGCACACACATACACATCCTTTGTTTACATTACTTTTGACATACATTCAAATCATATGGCCTAACCTAGACCCTTACCCCAATCTTAACTCTTACCAACATATACCTAACCCTAATCCCAACATAAAAAAGAAAACCTTATTAATTGGGGACCAATTGAATTTCCCCATTTGGACCACTTTGGACCTCTAGGTCCCCGAAATGGGGGAATATTTGACAATACCCTGCCCCCAGTTGTAGCTCAAATAAACCCACATTACATTTTGCCATCCATATGAGGACTTTGCATTGACTTCCATTCATTTTGCATTCACTGCTTTGGCCAAACCCAGACCCTCACCCTGACCCATGCATTACTAATGCATACCTAGCTCTGACCTAAATTCAAGTCATATTATTGTCTAAATCCTAACCCCCATCCATGATAACGGAACTTTTCCTGATGGGAACCAGTCGACTGGTACCTCTAAGGCCCACAAAGGAACATATTCCTGGGGAATTGTCCTTCCACTGTCCCTACAAGGTGAAAAAATACTTGGGCACTCACACTATTCTGTCTGGGGAATATAATGGGGGCATCTGTACAAAGTGTTGTCAAATGGAGTGAGACGGGGTGTGGAGGATCAACGAGTGATCAAGAAGAGAAGGTCTGCCATCACGGGTGGCCAAGCAAAGCTTTCTCTCCAGTCACAATATAACCAAGTACAGAAACAAGAGCAATAAAACCAGAATCCCATTTTAAAGCACTCATCCTGCAGAAACTGACTGTTACTGACCCCTGGTCCTGTCTAGACCCGTACTCTGTGGCTGAATGGGATCAAATGGGGGAGAAGCAAAGCACACATTTCACATTGCTCTAGTTTTTATGGACACTCGCCAAACAAGACTTTTCATCTTTGCATTAGGGCTAAAGCAACAGGTCCTGGTTGTTTAACAAAAAAAGAAAAAATCTGCATTGGCCATAAAAAGCCTGATTGTTGCCTCTCATATCTATTGTGTGTTGTCCAGAGACCTTTATCTGCAGAAAAGTTTCTTTATGTCTTCAAATCTTTAACTCTACTAATCGATTGATAAATGAGTTATTGTTATTAAGCTATTAACCAACCAATGCCTTATGTATAGATAGGCATCATAAAGGCCATTTATAAGCTGAATTATCTCAGCCTTCATCCTACCTACGGAAGTATCGTCACATGAAAGAAATCTTTTACCAAATATATTCAGATTAATTTTCTTTGTGTTTTTATATTGAAAACATAAATGTGTGCTCCAATAAAAAACTATCCAGAAATAATAAAGTGGATGGTTTAAAAAGGAAGACAGAAACTCCTTTGAAGTCTTGACACAATAGTGGATGAACCCCGCAGATTAATGAGTTAAGCTGCGATTCATACATATTAAATCAGGCAAGTCGATGTCTTATGAATAAGAGCTGATATGGCTCTGAGCCACAGAAGGCTTCCACAATCTCCCTAATGTGCTCTGTGTGTTAGCCTTGTGCATTTTACTTCTGAATGACACAGCATCCCTGTAATATGCAAAGCTGGACATTTCTAACCTGCGCATTATGAAACTTTATGCCGTTTTCATGTTGTTTCTTGCTGAAATACGTTTTTAAGTACAGTTTGCATAAGGACAGGCTTATATCTGGAAAGGTCTTCCAGCAAGCTTTCAGTAGAGTAGTTCACTTGGTTTCAAGTTGCAGAGCAGCAATAATGCATAATTCCCCCATTTCCGAGTGACCAGTTGTTTTCACCCCGACACCGCCATTGAACTAACTCTTAAACGGTGGATTGCCTCGTTGAGGTATTGAAGGACATACTGTGTGTTGCCCTTCAGAAAAAGCCCACTGATCCAAACTCATTGCTCCTTCTTGCTCGTCCTCTTTGCATGAAAAAATGCGATTCTGTGAAGCTGGACAAGGTAAACGGGTCAAAATAATCACTGTCAATACACTGTGATGAACATGAGTGGTTGCATGTAGGAACCTCTTTCTCTCTGGTTTCCCATCTGCAGCGATCCTGTCATGATTAGATGAGGTCTCTCTCTCTTTCTGTAATGTTGCAGTCACTTAGGCATCACATACTGTTGAGTAGATTTTACACAGCAACCACTTCTGTAGATTTGCCTGTTGTAGAGGTCTGTTTTTCTAATAGTGTCTTCTCTCTTTCTCCTCTACCTTCCCAATCCCACCCTTGTGGCACATTTACGACCCAATATGCCCTTCCCTCCTTCCTAATCACCGACATTCATTTTTAACTCATTAACCTTTTTTTTTCTCCTCCCTGCTTTGCCTCCATTGTCTCTTCCTCCGCACCACGCTTCCTGTTTTTGTTTGTTTTCATTTTTTAATATATGTGTGCATTGCATGCGGGCTTCACTGCCTGACCCGCAGACCCCATAGACCCCGATGTTGACTTGTACGAACTGTTCCATGCCCAATACACCCCAGCACCAGACCCCAGCCCCATGATGCCTCCCGTGGGCGTGCAGGCCTCCGTGCTGAGCCACGACACCATCAGGGTGACGTGGGCTGACAACTCGCTGCCTAAGAACCAGAAGATCACAGATAACCGCCACTACACGGTGCGATGGAAGACCAACATCCCAGCCAATACTAAAGTAAAGGTAAGAGATTTTGGTTTTTATTTTTGCTTCTAGAAATCATAAAATAATCATTTTTGTTTAATTCCAAATTTAACTCTAGAAAACTGACCACATTTTATTCTTCAGTGGCTTCTGATTTCTCTTTGGCCTTAATTTGTGGTGCATGCTAACACTATTATATGGTTTGCAGACAAAAAGCCACAACATTACATGACTGGATTTAGTATTCTCACGTTTGCTCAGGACCTCAGGGGCAAAATAATGCTGACGTGTGTGAGAAAGAAAAACATCTGGCGTCATTCAACCATCGGAGCAATAAAGCCAGAAACAGACGCTTTACTCGCTTCTGTATTTTAATATTGTGGTACATTTTCCTTCAAATAGGTCTACATACAAGTTCCCAGATAAACTCATTTAATGTTTTCTCACTAGAAGCTATAAAACACAGTAATATAACTTATTGAAATATACGTTTTGTATTTCTGCACATTTATTAGCATCCTTCATACCAATGTATGAAAAAAGGCTTTGAATAAATTCCTATTATTGCAGCTCATGATTCCTGCAGTTCGAGTAAATTGATTCAGTTTTTAAAAAAAGCAATAAAACAATGAATTTATTTTTTCAGTGATGATGATCAATGTGTTTGAGGTTTTTATCTGAACATGCCATTTAACTAAAGAGGTTTGTTCCTTAGTTAGTCGGTAAACGGCTGCAGGGAAATATCCACTTGACGACACTTACAGGTTCCTGCAGTCAGAGCGACGGATGTGAACTTCAGAAAGTGGTTGTTTAGGAGTGTTTTTCTTTCTAAAATAAACCTGGGAAATCTTTAATATTCAGAAAATAGGTTCTTGAGGCTGCAGGTGTTTTAATTATACGTTTATTTTAAAGTAAAGTTGTGGTTAAGTAATAAAACAGCATATTTCAAGTTCGCGGGGGACACAGTGGGGAATGTGCTGCTTGCTGATGTTAAAACAGCAGGGGTGTGCAGAAGTCCAGAGTTTTTACTGTCTGTGTATATTTTTGACCATATGTGTTTGGCTGCTGCAGATGGAAGCAGATTAGAGATCTTTAGCATGCACCTATGGGAGGAAAATAGATTACTCTTTTTTTAATCATTTGTTGTCTCAGAAGGATTTTTAAATGGCGAGAATTACTCTTTTAATTTTTAACCCTTTATATGGCACTCAGTGAAATACTTTGAAACTCTAAATTTCAAGCCAATAGTGTTATTGGAATCCAAGAAAAGACATTATTATCTTTGTAACATTAAAAAATATTGATATTTTGATAGCAAAAATGAATGTAAATGTAATAACAAGAAACGCCATCTTGCCCGAATATATTAAGAAAAATAAAACAAAGTGCTTCTATATGAAATTAATGAAAAACCCTCTGAGAGTGAAAGAAACACATTTTCTTTGGTACAACATAACCTTAGAGGCATTAATGCTGATACTGACACTTATATTTTTTAGTTTAAACCTTAATATAATTGTTAACTATGCTTATTAACATTTGAACTTTCAATTAGCTTTTTACCTTTTTTTTTTCTTGACTTGTTAACCGTTTTTCAACTTAATTTACAGTAGGTAATCTATCATTCAAGGGCTCATCTAATTGGTTAAATGCCCAAACAAGATATACAGCCATGCAGCAGTGTCTTTTCTGAATGGGTGGATATAGATCTTGTGCTTCTAGACCAACGACTCCATTTATAAGGGATATGCGAGGGATCAAAAAGGGTAACTTTCTCTATAAAGGATTAAAATGGGTTTTGAAGATTTTTCCTTGAATAGAAATAGAAGAACCATGAATATTGATCCCCAGCACAGCAGAGGGTTGATATTTATTTATAGTTGGATGTTTTAGTTTATGCAACAGCTGATTAACATATTTAAAAGAAAAAGAAAATAAACTGCAAATTAATTCTCATCCTAACTTGATTAGCATCTCCACTTTGGGGCTGTTATATCTGCATGCTGCCGGTTTCATGCATGTGAACCAGTGACCGAGCAGAGCTCAGATAAAGGGGCTGCGTTTACTCATAAATTATTCAACAAGGACAAGCAAACAGAAGCAGAAAAAGAGGGTGTAGATCTGACAATGCATTCCCCATACAGCCAACTCATGGGACTCTCTCAAACGCATGAACACAAGCTAGAAAGTAAAAAAAAAAAAAACAAGCGGTGCCTAAAAAGCCTGCAAAGGGCTGATGGATATAAACACCTCTGATGCTAACGTGAAGAGGTTTATGATTCGTTTATTGTTATTCAGAGTAAAACAGAGGGAGAGCAGTATTTAAATGTTGTCCAATGAATTTACCATACGGTAAATCTGCAACACAAGTTCCATGTGCTCAGGCTTGTGTTAGAAGTGGCTCCTCTAAGTGGTCTGAATCACTCAGCGTGATATTAATTAAAGAGCAGCTCAGACTTATTATGTTCCTGTCCTGTTAATGAAATGCAATATATCAAGAAGTTACTAAACATCATTCTGTACATCTTTGTATTTTTACGGTGTTCTCCAGAACAGACAACAGAAGCGTTGTCACTTTAATGCCTCTCTTACATCCTGTCTAACCAGACAGGCTTGTGCATTATTGAGGGAATGAATGCTCTTAATGCCGGCTGCATGCAGCTAAAGAGAGGTTTGCTGTCTTACCCTACTGCCCTCTGTTTGGCAGCCCCCCCGGTGCAAAACTGCCGTGGCAACTAGCTACTTTGGTAAACCTCATCCTCCCACTTATATTTAATGGCTTTTTTTTACGACAAACCAACTCAGTGGAGAAAAAGTAAAATGATTGCGTAAGACACCGCTGAAACAGATCCACAAGGTGTTTTTTTCATACGTTGAAGTATTTCTTTGTGGTCAAAAAGTCCATTTGTTGTGTCTAGACTTCTTATGGGATGTTTGAAATTCTTTCAAAGCGTGTTTGTGGTTCCGTTAAAGAGCAATTCAGTATTCAGTCCATCACTTTGCTCGTCTGCTGTCTGATATACAGAGGAACAAAAGCACAAAATAACAGAGAAAACAGTCGAGTTTTATATCTTCGTAAACGTCATCCTTCCCTATTGTTACCACAACTTATAAGTTTCTAAATAAATCTTAAAAAAAATATATATATATATATATTTATAGATCAATCTAATAGATACACTAAAAGATCGTGGTTTGACTAACGTTAATTTATTTTAGTTCTGAAAACCTTACCAACTTATTATTTTTTTAGCTGATTTTTTATGTTGTGCATAGAACAATTCAGAAAGGAAACTTGATACAATATTGAATAATGTTAAACATTTTGATTTTCTTTTTTAGTAAATAATGAGATTATATGTCAGCTTTTGTAAGGCATCACCAGGCATTTTAAAGTACATTTATTTTCACCTTATTGTTATTCTTACTAAATTCTTGCTTTTTTCTTTGTGTGTGTACTTTTGCTTGTTGACCCCTCCAGATGGCCAACAGCACCAGCCTGAACCACGTAGTGACAGGTCTGAAGCCCAACACGCTCTACGAGTTCTCCGTCATGGTGACCAAGGGACGCCGCTCCAGCACATGGAGCATGACAGCTCAAGGAACCACCTTTGAAACCAGTAAATACCACAGACACATGAGCGCATATTCCTACATAAACATTTGTTATGTGCAGAGACTGGAACGTCGTTGATCCCTGAACTTGCAATACGACAACCCCCATTGGCTGCTTTGGGAAATTGAACTTTTTATAACTCAAATGGGAAAGATACTGTGCTGCCTGTATGGTTAATATGTATTGAGCAAGTAAAATGGGGCAACTTGCAGCTAAATTGAGAAGAGAGCCCATTTCCATTGAAAAAGAATGTATTGGACTAACCGTGAAGATTTTTTTTAATACAAGTTGATACAGACTTAAATTAATCAGTGAAGATGATGAAAACATGCATTATGCTCTTCACATTTTTCACTTTTGAACAGAACAAAGCTGCTATGTGGCAGATTAGATGGAGAATATCAAACAAGAAATTAAACTTATTTCTAAGTGGGAGTGTTTAGCACATGTGAGCAAAAAAAAAAATGGTTCTATGATGCACTTTAGTTTTTCAGCCCTAGTTTATGTATATAAATTGTAATTGTAAATGCCTTTATTGTCCCACAGTAGGGAAGTTCATTCTCTGCATTTAACCCATCCCCTTGGGGAGCAGTGGGCTGCCATTGTGCTGCGCCCAGGGAGCAGTGTGGGGTTATAGGTTTTGCTTAGTGCAGCTATGGGGATTGAACCGGGAACTTGCAACCTTCTTAGAGCACAAGAGCACTGCTCTAACCTCTAGGCCAACACTTCCCCATATACATAAACTAACAATTATTAAAATACTTTTTAACTAATGGTAGACAGACTCTAAAACCTGCCATTTGCTGAAAGAATATTTTACTTGCAGCAACAATTACGATAAAAATCTGCAAAAAAAACCCAAAAAACGTCTCTATTCAAGATTAAAAAATCTTTGTATTATATATTTATATACGTATATCATTACATATATATTGTACATTTTTACGTGTTTCTTTTCATTCATTTTTTATATAGAAAAAGTACAATAGTTTTATTATTTAATTGAAAACATTTATTTATAAATGTCAATTTCCTGAAATGTATTTATTTTTAGATTTTATAGCTGCAGCTCTAATATAAACCAAATTAAATTTCATCTCTCTGTGTCTCAGCCCCCGGCTCTGCTCCAAAAGATGTGACCGTCGTGAGCAAAGAGAATAAACCTCGCACCATAATAGTGAACTGGCAGCCTCCGTCTGAAGCTAATGGAAAAATTACAGGTGAGTCTTTAATCCCAGCGAAGCAGAAATAATGTTATTTACAGGCTTATTGATGAGTCCTTCGTTTGTGCGAAACATTCATCACACATTTACTGCTTTTATGGGGAAAAAAAGTGTGTTAAATATGTATCTGAAATTGACCGTTGAGTGGGAAATGATGATAATTTTCTATAGCTGATTAGTTAAATACAAAGAAAGAAATATTAAACAAAGAAAGAAAACATTAAACGCCCTTTAATTTGTATTTTTATATCAGAAATATGTTGAAGTTGTAAAAAGATGCCTCTTTAAACATTTTGTCCTGTTTCTTGTAAAGATACTATTTAGGGCTCTTATTTTTTGTTCTCACAATGAAGAGTTTAACTCTTTAAATCCAGTCACAATTCTTACAGCCTGAGATATGACAAATTTCAAATATAGTTAATATATTATTGATGCAAAGTTTTAAGTTAAACTTACAGGCTAAAAAAAAAGTGCTTCTAAAGGAATAATTTGTTGCTCAAAGCAAAATTAAAGAAGACCTCCAAATTCCACAATCCATTTAAAAACTGTTACTTAATTCTACATGCTAAATGCTTTCTTTTTGTGAACCTATTTATTATGAATAAGGACATTATTATGTCTGAACCAAGAAGTAAAACATGTTGAAATGGGAGGTTTTTAAAAGTAGATTAATAGTTATTTCCTTTTGTGGAACTCAGAGCAAATAAAAACTGTCTGGTCCTTTTAGGTTACATTATCTACTACAGCACAGACGTAAACGCAGTGGTCCACGACTGGGTCATTGAGCCTGTGGTGGGGAACCGCCTCACGCACCAGATCCAGGAGCTGACGCTGGACACAACGTACTACTTCAAGATCCAGGCCAGGAACTCCAAAGGAATGGGGCCCATGTCGGAGGCCGTTCAGTTCCGAACTCCCAAGAGTAAGTTTCTAAAATCTCCCAGAGAACGTTCCAGCAATGAGAGTGAAAACAGGGAGGATTCAAATGACTGGAAAAACTATAAAATGTTTCTTTTGGTATGGGAGGGTGGTTCAATAAGGCAATTAATGATGTTGAGGAATTATTAAATAATGATGGTGGTTTGCAATGAATAAATAGTTTAGTTGTGTCTTTTTGCTTTAAGTTTGTTTCAGAGATAAGCCCAGTTAATGGGAAGCCTAGCTGCTGAAAAATAAATTATTTTCAATCTGAACAAGGTTTTATTAATAAAGAAAATAATATTTCGCCCACCTTTTCCACTCCTTTAAATTTTACAAAAATACTTCTGCTGTATAGATTACAAATGCAGTTTCCTTAAATATTTACCTTTTGGGGTTCAGGCATTTCATTGTCATATCCATATTAGCACAGAGAAAATCACATCAACAATAAAGTACAGTTCCCATTATATCTTTGAACCTTTTCACATTTTGTTGCAAGCATTAACATTTATGTATTTTATCAGGATTTTATGTTAAACACTGACACGATGAAGGAGATGACTTATTTGTAAAAATTAAAATAATGTTTTTTTCTTTTAATGTTGTAGAATAGAATAGAAGTAAAGATGAAATGAGAGCTGCTAATTGGCTGTGCAAATAGTCAAATAGTTTTAGTACAATTTCAGTGGAAAGGCTGTTGAGGTTAAAGCTTCACCAGCTTTGAACGTCTACAGACTGATATTTGTGCTCAATAGCTGACACTGAAATAGCTTTCATGAAAAGCTGCTCTTTAGGAATGGAGGAATGACATCCCTCATAGCATGATGCTGCAGCTATGTTGGGAATGCAGTAACGGGATGTTCAGTCTTACGTTTCTGCTACACCTGACTGATTGCATGGAGGCCTTAAAGGTTCCGCTTTAAACTCGGGTTGAAAGCTTTCCCCATTCCTGCAGCAGGTTTAGCCTGTCAGTGTCCCTATTAGCTGCTAATCTTGCTGTGTCTCCCTTTTTACGTCGACATGAATTCAAATCTCATACTAACTTAAATATATGCTTCGCTTTCATTTGTTACCGCAATCTTTCCTGAGTCGTCTTTATTGCTTATAGATGAGTCATTCTGTTTGAGGTCTGCTCTGCGGCAAAGGTTTTATTGAAGAGTTTAGGATGAATTGGACTGTGGAGCCATCCGCAGCTCATTTTGTTTTTCATTTCAGTTATTTAACAGGGCCGTTTTATTTAGTTGCCATTGGATTTTTTTGTAAAGCGTTTTAGTATGGGAAATCAATGGGTGCTTTATTGTGGGAAGTTTTAATCATTTCTGTATCGACGCTTTGCTCCTTTTTATCAGCTCGGCTCTGTCTGCTGCACAGTCTGTTCAGCAACCGTTTGGTTTCCTCACAAGTTTTCCATTCCTCTAGTTTTGCTCCTCTTCCTCCCCACGGTCCTCCATCTGTCCACCCTTTATTTCGCCGTCCCTTGCCGCTCCTCTCAGCTAACCGTTTTTTGTTTTGCTTTTTATTGTCTCTTCCTCTCTGCTCTCCTTTGGCCTGTTAAGCTGAATCCTCTGACAAAATGGCTAATGACCAAGGTAAACTCCCTCTTCTCACTTTATCACTGCCAACTACATCTCACATGCTTTTCTTTCAAAGGATCTCCATCTTCTGGGCTGATAACAAGTTGCACTGCATGAATGTTAGTTTGTAGAGTTTGTTGACCGGCGAAATGGCCAGGAGCCCTTGGGAATCTTATTTGCTTTTCTCTGTTTGAATCAGCTTCAAATCTGCCACCAAAGCCTGGATCTCCAAGCAATATCTTTCCAGAGGACCCTAGAGGTACAGTTGGTAAGTCCTTCATCCCACCTGCTATCTGGACTGTGATTTCCATTGACCTTCAATGCTAATTTGATGCTAAAAACTTCAAAAATTATTCTAAAAACTTTGGTATCACAAGCTGTGACCTAATGGTCAACTGTCTTTTTTCCATGCACAAGCAAAACAAGCATACCTCTTCTGCTTCCATCAGATAATAAACATAAAGCAGACGGGTGCTTAAGTTAATGTACATGATCGGTTGATAATGAGCAAGTGGGAATGATCGATATGATGCGATACAAATCACACATGTTCACAATTCAGTGTCATTAAAAGAATGATTTTATGATATGACCTCATATGATCATTTGGTATAGGTAGTTGGGGTTTGAGGATTTATTAGCTTAAACTATAGGGTTTCAATAGAGCAAAGCAATACATGGAAACAAGAAAAAAAACATTCATACCGCTGCTGAAGCTGTGCCACTTCAACATCAGAGAAGATGAATGCACGACAATCTATTACCAGGATTTTTTATGATCTACAGAAGAGAAGGATTTACAAAAAACAAAATATCATAGAGTCAAGGAGAAAATCATAGAAGTAACTGTTGTCGGTTCCAAAGGTTTACATTCAGGCTACCTGTGCACTCACATCCAACGTATGCGTGTCGGACCACTGATGTGAATCAGTGGATCTCCTCATCTCTAGGCTATGCACATAAATGTTATACATCACTTAAAGAGAAGCATTCCAAAATCTCCGGCCTCCTGCAACAAATATTTCTTCGTTCTGTCACACGGATAGACACTTGGCCGTACGTTGGAGATAGAAATTCATTATGTCAGAGGTACCGATTGTTACATTGCTTTAGACATTCTTTGTTTGTATTTTTTAAATGATGATGTCGATCCATGATTGATTTCTGACAGGAAGTCATGGTTGTTTTGAAGGATTCTTGTTGGCAGAAATGTTTTAGTTTTTTGGTACACTGCCCCCATGTGTCTGGCATATTATTAAAAAAGGTGTATCTCTGTGGGCTGGTGTAGAGGAAAACTTTTCTAAAATTGAAATGTGTATAGTATTAATTTTTAAAACTGTGTAGGGCATGTAGTCTATGCCTTCAGGGCAGATTATACTTCTGCAACCGCACACATCAAATGTCGTATTGGGTCTGGTCGCAAACCAGTTTTGCGGGTATGCTTCTGCGCTGTCGGTGTGAAATTTCTAGGGACGCACACTAGTTTACCACCAATGCGCAAGAGAGAGCCTATTCAAGAACTTGCAAGAACTTTAGCGGATGATGTTGATTAAACAAACATTACATAGAGGACTGGGCAGTATGCACTTTAAATCTTATTACTTTATTTGATGGTATTATTGTTAAAATGATAAAAGTGAACATAAAAAGCATGACTTTTTTAGAGTCTTTACGAGGCAACCGTGTGGCTGTGACTGCTTACTGCCAGAGTCATACCCTCATATCATAAATAATCCTCTTGAAGAATATAGACATTCAAATTTGGCCTTTTCAGGACATAAATTAATATAATTTAAATCCTTAAGCATCTCATAGTAACAGCATTTAATCATTTGTCAATGCCCCAATGGAAAAATTGATGAAAAAATGAAGAAGAAAAATAGTAGAATAAAGTCGGGCATACACTTTATGATTTTTTTTTTTACCCTTTTCGGGCCGATTCTCCAGTCGTGTGAGAGTTTTTTCAGTCGTGCTAACTTTCAGCCTCATGGTGCATCCTACGTTGTGTACTATACACAGTATAAACGAGGGGCGATCAGCCTATGACGGCCACCTCCAAATCAGGAATCGTTAGGTCGGGAGAAATTCAAGCATGTTTGAAATTCAGTCGGCCGTTGTGAGGTGTTCATGGATAAATCCAACTGTTGAAACAGAGCTACGAGCCGATTTACCAGAACCTTCTAGCGCTGCACATGTGCAAACAAGAGAGTTCTGCTTCTTCTTCAAGTTTGACGAGTCCGACCAGCGCCATCTCTAGCCGCTAAGTCCGACGTGTTGTTTTTGGACGTAGTGGGAGCAGGTAGATCGCAGCAGAGCGTCGGGCCGCACAGTGTGCGAAACATGCATCTTGAGCTGTAAACTTTTAAACCCTGTGGTTTCAGTTGTAACTGCATGCAATGATTGAAAATATTGCACAATTCTGACAACTCCCCCAGTTTCTGGAGTTTTTAATCATCATTGCTTCAAATCTATAGTTTAGACAAAATATCCAATTTCTTATCATAAATAGGAACTACCGTAAATTCTCTAATATTGGCCTGTATTCCAATAGCGGCCGGGTCTCTAACATTGGCCGGTCTCGCTGTCAGAGGAGGTAAATAATGGCCGNCTGCTTCTTCTTCAAGTTTGACGAGTCCGACCAGCGCCATCTCTAGCCGCTGAGTCCGACGTGTTGTTTTTGGACGTAGTGGGAGCAGGTAGATCGCAGCAGAGCGTCGGGCCGCACAGTGTGCGAAACATGCATCTTGAGCTGTAAACTTTTAAACCCTGCGGTTTTAGTTGTAACTGCATGCAACGATTGAAAATATTGCACAATTCTGACAACTCCCTCAGTTTCTGGAGTTTTTAATCATCATTGCTTCAAATCTATAGTTTAGACAATATATCCAATTTCTTATCATAAATAGGAACTAATCATTATTATGACAAACAATGGGATAAATGCCCACCCCATTTCACACGTGAAGTATTTAACAGGAGGAAGTTGATACTGAACTTACAACTCCCAGATTGTAAGAGAACTGCTTTTCAGCCGCCCTATGATGAGGTAATCTGTGGAACTACTGGCCTCTGATAGAATCTGGTTGTCAACAGGTTAGTTCCAGCCCAGCAGCAGGACAATGGCTTAATAAGAAACAAATTACAGTTCTGCAATGACCCACTCAATGGCTGGACCCCATTCTGGTGGAAATGTGCCATCCAGACACCTAAATCATTCACAAGACGCTGAATAATTCAGAAAGCATAAAACAGCACAACCTTCTGAGGACTTCAGGATATTTTTTTCTTAACTGTACCCGCAATCATTTAAGTTAAGTTTTTTCCTCTCTGACTGTAGATAAGCATGTGATTAGGTAAATCTAAGCCAATTCATCTTCTATCCTCTTGAGGTAAAACAGGTGTCGGGGGTGGTGAACATCACATCCTGATCATCGTCATCATAATCGCAGTAGGAGTCTTCACCATCATAGTGGTTGTGGTCGGAGCCTTGCTGTGCACACGGCGCAGCACGTCCCAGCAGAAGAAGTAAGGTCCTATTTGTTTTCTCCAGCCACTGCTTGTGGAAGCAGGTTATTCCCTCAATCATTGGTGCCGTTCCCTCCTGCAGGAAGCGAGCCGCGTCAAAGTCATCAAACGGCTCCCATAAATACAAAGGAAATTCTAAAGACCTGAAGCCACCAGATCTTTGGATTCACCACGAGAGGCTGGAACTGAAACCTATGGACAAGTCGCCGGATCCCAACCCCGTCATGACCGAGACGCCCATCCCTCGCACCTCGCAGGACATCACGCCAGCCGACAGCGGAATGGAGAGCAACCCCCACCTGCAGCAGAGGCGCAACTCCTACAGAGGTATGTTTTTTTTTATTCCAAAGGGGGAGGCTTATAAGTTAATGTTTTGAGAAAAAAAAGAGACAATTGAAATGTCATCCTTGCTGCCTGAGTGCATATTCATAATAACACTGAGCATTAGTCTGAGTCTGTCTGGCAGACAGGAAGTGGCATTTCAAGTAGAGAGTTTATTATTTGAGCAGGAAATTCAACAGAGCCTGTGAAGGAGAGTCGAAGAATTAAAGTCAAGGATGTGTCTTTGTCTGTGATTGCCATGCAAAACATCCCATGCTTTATCATACATGGCTCATGATTGTCATTACATAACAAGCCCCGCTTGATTGTAACGATAGCCTTCAAGTACGAGTGACATTTGGAAATATCGCACCCTGATTAAGATCACAAGGAATCATTAACAACAAACAAAATGCTAGAATAGCAATCTGATTGGCTGATTTCCACCATACCTTTTAGGCCACGAATCAGACGACAGCATGTCCACACTAGCAGGTCGCCGAGGGATGAGACCTAAAATGATGATGCCTTTTGACGCACAGCCACCTCAGCGTAAGTCTGTAAACATGTGTTAACAGTCAGATCTTGAAAAGAAAGTCTCTAGAAATCAAAAGCTTAAATATTCCCATTTCATGCTTCTCATAAAATGTTTACTATTTATTTTTGTGAATTAGCTTACTTCTGAGATCAGTTTCTGAGTGAAAAAGACTTGCAGAGTGTTTCTGAAAAGAAACTGCATGTGTGTCTTCACCTTAAACATCTCATCCTGTGTGTTTGTGTGTGTTTGTGTATCCATGTCCATTTCCATTCACAGCTGTGATTAGTGCTCATCCCATCCATTCCCTCGATAACCATCATCACCATTATCACATGGGCAGCCTGGTATCACCGACACGCGGCTACCTCTACCATCAAGGCAGCGGGCACCCTCGCCCGCACGCCTGCACCACCCCCATCTCCCATTTAGAAAGGGTGGACTCCTCAGGTGAGACACTGCCCCCTGCTGGATAGCAGGAGAAATACACATGAGGGCATGGCTAGATTCAGCCGGCCACATGTGGGCAGCTGCTGTTGCATTTATAATTTAGCTTTACTGTGGTCTAGATTTTTCTTGTTCTTTGTGCTTTAAAAATGGTTTATTTTTCAGTTTTTCAAATAATAATGTAGTTGAAATATGTGTTGATTTATTTTTGTCTCTTGTTGATCAAATGCAGAACAGTTGAAACAATCTATGCTCCACTTCTTTTGATTTCTACCTACATCTAGAATCTATACTTGTTCCTATATTCATAAATCATATGAACAATTCCCAGCTTAAAAACTGTTTTTCAAAGGATCAAAGGATTTTTTGGTTCTTTTACTACTTGTTTGGCGAGTCTGGGGTGGCCTAAATAGTAGTAATATATTTTAAATAGTCCATTTTGTGTTCTCTTTATAGAGAAAAAGCTATTTCAAACTATCTTTAAACTATGCTCTGCTTAGATTAGTTCAGGTTTGATCAGCCTATAAACTGTTAAACTGTCCATATTTAACAATGCAAGTCAGCATTTCTTCTTAGATAAAACAAAAATAGGTACTGGTGAAGATTCTCAGTCATTCAGGTCAATTTTTCATACAGGCAAGTTAGACGGACAGCTATAACAAAGAACCATAAGTTTTTAGATTGTTTTCATCTTTCATGTCAACCTGAAAAGGAAACATAAGAGAATATGTACAGACTTTTTTTGTACACTTTGCAGGCATTTTTCCATTCAAAATAAGAGCAAATTTAGTGTTTTCTGTTCATGCTGACGATAAAAGAAACTTTTTGGGCTGTTAGCATATCAGTAAGCCCTAGCTTACATTAACAGCTAGCTGAATGCTAACCACAGAGATAACGACAAACCATGTCTAGCTGATATGCTAAGGTAAAATACAGTCAAATATATCTTAATAAGACTCTTTGTACCACATTTAGGGCATCCATATCTGACTAAAGTTTTGAAAAGAAACAAAACCTAACCCTAAACTATCTTAGTGAGCGATTATATGATTTATTTTTCTCATTTTTTAAATAAGTCAGGTCACCAGATGAAAAGTCCTAATCGAAAACATTGTGAGTTAAGGGGTTAGAATTAAAAGCACTCACTTTAATATCCAGGGCTTATATTAATAGTTTACACTCAACTCAGCTGATAAAATAAAATACAGACGGCAACAAGATACCAGGTTGCATTTCTCTTTCATGAGAAATATTGTGTCAATTTAAAATTGTTGATTTTTACACCACCACATCTTGTGACACCAACTGTGAGGCAGAATAACAGGAATTATAATCTATCAGCACACGTCTAAACACCATTACTGCCAATAGTCCATGACTGTATTTTCTGTAAATTATGTTTTCTTTTCTTCCTAAAGGTACCCAAAAAGCTATTATCTGAATCATTTGAAAGTACAGGGGGAACCGCTGGATGTCAGATGAAAAACATGAAACGGGGCATTGATTTTTTAAGATGAAAGTGATTATTTCAATTTTAATATATATCCATGATTCCTCCCCTTTGTGTTAATTTTCCATCATCAGATATGAAATTCTGTCCTTAAAATGTAGCATTTTGGTGATGAATCTAAGTAAAGTCTAAATAAAGAATCAGAAAATGTCCATCTAACTAGACAAATATACCAACTGGAGTTTTAAATACATCTTGAATAATTGTAGCCTTCTAAATATCACATCCAGGCTGTCCATTTGCAGTTGATATATTTTGCACAGATTAACAGTAGCTGTTTGATGTAGTTTGCAGCTCAAATTGTGGGGAAACTTCAGTATTTATTCATCCAAACAAAGTCTGGCTTGATAATTGACTCAAAAGATGGACTTCCTCTAGAGTAGAGATATTATAATGGTTAATCATCATCACCATCATGTAGTCACACCTGCACTGGTTACCTAATACATCGAAATGTTATCAGCTGTAGAACCAGGAAGCAGTGAATGGCTACAACAGATGTCTTCAGCATGATCTAAGCTGGGAGATCAAGTTTAAAAGCAATGATAACATGGCGTTTGGAGAAGACGTCTGAAATTCATGATTTATATCATCATTTTGTCACATTTATGAGTTTTGGATATTTAAGTATTTAGCATTTGGAAAGGCGTGTTCATGTTGGGTTCCTCAGGTGGAATTTAAACTCAAATATTTCAGATTAAAGCTAGTTAAATTATTTAGAGCGGAGGTCTTTAACGATTTCCAGGCCAAGGACCCCCAAACTGATGGCGAGATGGAGCGGGGACCCCCTAATTATATATATTGTATGAAATTGTGTTATATTAAACTGGTCCTATAGTCACTCTATTACAGATGGAGTCATGTAACAAAAATAATTTCTCCCTGGGATTATTAAAGTATTTCTGATTCTGATTCCTGGTTGATGGGACAGGTGTTGTGAATGAAACGGTTCCCAGATTGAAAGAGCTCCTGTGTGTCGCTGAATGTGTGCATTGATGACTGAAAGACATCTTCTGCCTCCATTAATCTGTTTACTTTAGTGTGTTGGATTCATGTTAATGTGAATTTGAAGATATTTCAGTTAGTGGAAAAAATTGCAGGGGGGGAATATAAAAAAAAATAATAATAATTGGAATCAACCAAAATTTTGATGACTCCCATGCAGTACCTCTGTGGACCCCCTAGGGGTCGTAGACCCCCTGTTAAAGACCTCTTATTTAGAGAATAAATAAAGTACAAGTTGTTATTAAAGATATTTTAGAGAATGTTTTAAAGTTAGAAAAGTGAAGTTCAGATTAATGTTAAAAAACGAACTTGTATGTTTCTTAGTATAAGACCATGATGGTACGGCCACCGGTGTTACTCATCATCTCCCGATATATACCAATTTCCAGTTTTCTATTAGGTTTGACCTAAAACTCCCACTTTGACCTGTTCTGTTTTACTCCTCCCACACTGTAAGACATAAACGCGATGCAGGTTTCTCTCGCAGTAAATTATATTCTTACCAGATTATCCTCATTTCTTGGTTGAACCGCATGTCTTTAACCTTAATCCTATTCTAATTACACTCAAACAGAAGTCTATCTTGGTGCAAAATGTTAATGGATGTGTTTTAAGATGCAAAAACTGGGAAATCTCGGTTTTGATGCATTCAATAAAAAGAACAGCATTTGGATTAAGACATAATTGTCTCATCTCTGACTAATTCATTGCTGCGACTCATTAATACTTGTCGTGTTGTGCTGCACATAACTGTTAAATTATGGCTAAAAGATTTCATACTTGCATTTTTTTTTTTTGCATGTAAACACACCAGGCTAACTAGAAAGGTCAGGAGACACGGTTCATATCAGCATGAAATATCTGCAGCTGTTTATTTTTGTCACCATAATCGTCTAATTTTAATTAGGTCCCTGATTGTGCTTCGTGTGGAATCTGAGTTGATATACCGTATTTAACTTGCAAATTTTGCCAAAAGTCAGACCCATTAAGGAAGATTGCACACAAGATAAACAAATCTGTAATTGATTCGGTTTGTTGGAGCTGAAATAAATGAACTGAATGTCTTCAGTACCTTCTGATGAAATTTAATGATACCCTACAGAAGATTTAGATTAACTAGTGGTTTAAGTGTGACTTCGTGCTTTAAATACTTGATTTAAAACAATCACCATCCTCATCAGCAAACAGATAAGAAGGTTGTGTAAATGTTTTAAAACCTCTTCATCTATGGTTCCTCTGCCTCTCCAGAATCTGTGAGGAACACCCCCAGCTCGGAGCCCCTCCCTCCACCTACAGCATCTTCCCAAGTCTCCTGCCCCTCTGAGATCATGGCTGACCCAGAGGGCAGCTACCACGGCTCCACCACCACCGAGGAAGAGCCCAGCTACTCCAGCAACCTGCCCCCACATCGCCCAGCCCACCCGCATGCCCTTGCCCACCCCCTCAAGAGCTTTGCTGTACCTGCAATCCCAGTCTCCAGCCATCCCTCATACGACTCCCCCGCCTTACCCAGCATGCCCCTGCTTGCTCAGACTGGTGAGCTCTCACACCAAACATACCCAGAATCTGTTTACCACATATATGAGTCATTCTCTGACCTTAGTTGATATCTGATATCTAAGTTTGTTAAATCAATCTTATTTTAGCGTCATCAACCAGTATGGAGTCTCGAGATCAACTAGAGGAATAAACTAAACAATAAATGTTGATAAAGAAGCGTTTAAACATAAAAGCATCACTAAAACATGGACAAAAGCAACTACTTTGGTTTTTGGTGCTGACTGTCCTATTAGCATATCTATCAGTTTAGTTGAACTATAACGACATCAAAAATGGCAGGTTTTTAATAATCTTACACAGCCCAAAGGGGGAAAAAAAGGATACCTGTTTATACTCGTTAAAATTATGGCAGGGTTTACATACATCCCAAGTTCAAAAAACTAATTTCATTTCATGCTTATTGAAGCATCCCCCCTCACCCCCCTCACCCCCCGCATCCTCTATTTATCCTGCTTTCCCTGCATCCTTTTTCAAACATCACAATATTAATTATCTTGGCCCATGTTTTTTAAAAATAAATAATGTTTTTGCCCGCGTGCTTTGCGCAGTTGCATTTTATTTGGTGCCCTATTGTGCCCCTGTATAGTATTGGGTCAGCTGACGCCCCTGGCCGCACCGTGTCCCATACATGCACATTCCATCATTCTTCACCTTCACTAGACATAGATACACTTTAGTATATTCTACTGTAAAATGAGGTGACTGAAAAAGAGTAAACTGAAACTTATTGGCTTATTTTTCTTTCCAATCCAATCAGCTCTCTGACAACCGGTCGCCTGGTGCGCTGGTTGAACAGAGCATCGCTTTGGACAGATACGCTGCACAGGTTTCACCAGAAACCTCCTCCCCACACCCTGCTCTCTGATTGTGTCTGCGCAAACGCAGTAGTTCTAATCCGCACATGATGCATGAATCATTGCCTGCTCGCTCTCACTCGGATTAAAAAACACCACCTCCCATAGTCTAAAATCCGGGATCATTTATCCGACTCGCTGGCATCCATGAACAACTATCGATATCAGGGAGACTCCCGGAACTTCCGGGAGACTTGAATTTAGATGCCATAGGTTAGACCAGAATGCCAGAAGACGTATCAAAGAAGAACTGAAGGAGAGGTTTTAAGCAGAGTTATACCCCTTTCACACTAGCTGAAAAACCTGTTTAAACCCGGGCTCAATCTGCTTCTGGTGGCAGTGGGAACAGCTTACTTATGCCTGTCTACCCGGGTCAAACATCTCAGCAAGCGACCCACGTTAAAATCGCCTCGGCTCTGATCTGCATGCTGTGGAACACCAGACCCAGGTTGACCCGCTAAATTACGTGATACCATTGAATCTAACGTACGGACGTTAACAGATCATGGCAGCTACATCTGATCTAACAAGCCAAAACAACACTGTTTACATTGGATAAATTCAATTCAGTTTATTTATATAGCATCAATTCACAATACATGTCATCTCGCGGCACTTTATCCAGATCATCCAGTCAAATTGATTCAAAGTTTTCAAAGGAAAACCAGTTAATTGAATCGACTCATTGACTCAAAGGCAATCCCTCACACTAAGCATGCTGAGAGATTGCCTTTGAGTCGATGCAATCAACAGGTTTTCCTTAGACAGAAAATTTAAATCAATTTGACTGGATGATCTGGTGAACTGTCGAGTGCCTTGAGATGACATGTGTTGTGAATTGGTGCTAAATAAATAAATTGAATTGAATTATTGTAACAAAATGTACAAATGTATTACGGTATTGATTAGGCTAATTTTGTTGGTATTGCAATGGAATGATTCATCATAGTTACAATGCGTAGCTCCATGTGTAATGAAGAGATGTAACACAGAGCGAGGGGCTGAGGTCTGATTGATGCCGGCAGGATAAGTAATGTTGACCTCAAGCAGAGGTCTGCAACCTGCGGCTCCAGAGCCACATGTGGCTCTTTGAACCCTCGACAGCGGCTCCTAATAGTGGCTAAAATGTATATAAAGGACAAAATAATGTACCATAATAAACACAAGTCTTAAAAGTTTTTTTGTTCTTTATAAAACGGAAAAGAATGACATTAAAAGAACCAGAAATATGTTTTAGGAGCCATTTTTCTTTTAATAAGGGTGGAAATAATGTTTTTTTTTTAAATATATCTTAAAAGCTAAAAATACATAAATTGTTGGTTGTTTAAGGTGGACACCTAATTTAGAGATTATAAAACTTAATAATAATTTGTTTTGTTTTTTTCGAAAAAGTCATGTTATGTTTTGCGGCTCTGGATGAAATGGCTCTTTGGATATGAAAGGTTGCAGACACCTGAAAAGGAATGGCTGAAAGTGGGCGGAGCCACTACTAACTGTGAGCCTTTATAACCCTCTCCCTCACCCAGGGCCTCCCTCTCACCCCCATGTTGTAAAAACAGCCTCCATCGGAACACTAGGAAGGACACGCACTCCAATGATAGTAACAGTACCCAACGCCCCTGATGTACCAGAAACAAGCAAAATGCTGGAGGATGTAGACAGCGTGAGTATGCCGCCCCCCGATGGAGCTGTGTAGCGTTGCAATGATGCATTTTAGTTTTTCTTAGCTGTGTTCAAAAAAATATATATGTTCACACATCACACTCCCAGATTCATGTGAGGTTTTTGTTTAGGCTCTGGGTTGTACGGTGACTTACAGGTGGACATGTTGTAACCACATTTTCTGTTTTTTCTTTCTCTCTTCTTCCAACTTTGATCTCATTTATAATTTCTTGGCATCGTCGGCTCCTTTTAAACACAAACGATTTGTTCTAACAACTGGTCATAACTAAACCCATTACTGGAATGATTTCATTTTTTTTTTATTACCTCATTTTGGCTTCTGGTTGATTGGCTGCTGCTCCTTTTCTTTTCTCCGTGTTGTGATTTTTTATTTTTGGTCTGCTTCAGTCTCATTGACCCAGCTCGCCTCACCCCACCCATCCAGCTCCCTCCTGCTGTCTCTGATGGATCCCTGACTGACCTCCTCTCCCTCCTGTCCTCTCCTCTCCTTCCCTCTCTTCCTTCCCCACTTCCAGGTGCTTGCCTCCCTCCCCCCCTGCCCCTCCCCAGCCCCTCGCAGTAACCCTGTTCCTCTCCCTCAGAGCTACGAGCCTGACGAGCTGACTGAGGAGATGGCGCACCTCGAGGGCCTGATGAAAGACCTGAACGCCATCACAACAGCGCCATGATCGCACACTCACCCACAGATGCAAACACACACACACACCCGCACACATATATGCAAGGAAGCCACACAGCTCTCACAGGCAGATAAACACATTCGAAACACAATCCTTCTAGAGCCCGAGGTCTGTGGACATGTAACAGCTTTTTGGGGCCAACAGAGACTAAAAACGTTGGAACTTCTTCCCGGATCAACCTCTCTCTGTGTCGGACAGGAGGCAGATCACTGACACTTCATGCTCCTATGAAGAACAAATCTCAGAGACATTGAACTTTGAAGCTTTGGCTGCTTTCAGCCTGACGTTTGTGACTCTTTTATTTTATTTTTTCTTCAGCAAAAAGAGAAAAACTGGCAGCAGAAGGTGAGGATCATAAAAATACTGGTTTGTGATGGCGGCGCTCGTGCAGCGCCGACTACAACACAGTGTTTGACCAGTGTTTTCTTTGTGCGTTTTGTATCTATTGGACCGTTTCAGTGAAGTAAGCATGGGATGTCAGCTCCTCCTCCTTACTGTTTGTTCTTCTTGAGTTTTTTACATGCCTATATTATTTTATTTCTTTTATTTTATTTGCTTTTTACCCTCATGTGTCATACATTGTGCCATGCTGTTTTATTTTCTACATGCTTATGTACATACATGTTTTTTTTTAACTGCCTCATTCTTTTTATTTTTCCCATTGTTTTATTATTATTATTATTATTATTACTTGTGATTTAGATTAAATTTTCATATCAGCGGAGGAGTGAAGTCTAATGGTTTCTACAGTACCATTCTTGCCCTGGCGTCTTGTTGTCCACTTTTTACACTAAAATACTCTTCAGTCTTTCTGTTGATTGTGGGAGCTCCGTTTTAAAAGCCTTACCAACGTGTTTCTACGTCGGACCATTGGAAGACTCGCCGTTAACTCGGCCTTCATCTCCATTAGAGCTTGCGGATCCTTCTGCGGGACTTTGACGGCGTCTCCACGCAGGTCAGGGCTGCCTGGGACTCATGGCCGCTGACCGACACCTGAAAGCTCTGCTAGAAAGAACAAACCAATCATTCAATCAGCAAATGAAACTTTTGTACAAGTTTGGTTGTATGTGTGCGTTTTACAAAAAAAAAAAGAAATCAATGAATAACCTTTGGTTTCGGACATCTGCTGAAACACTCGGGCATTTTTCTGCTGCAAAGTCTTTTTGACGTCTGTTTGTTTTGTTTTTATTTTTCCTGCATCTCTTCATAGAATGCCACTCTGTGGTTCTGTTACAAACATTACAAGATGCAAAGATGTTTGCCTTTTCAAAGGGACTCCCGGATTTTTTTTTTCCTTTATATATATATATGGTTGGTTTTGTATGAAAAAAATCGTTGTTCTGAACACAAAACTGCTGTACAAAAAAAAAAAGGAAAGAAAAATAGGTCCGTCTCAGAGACTAGTTTTTCATTGCCCTCTTACCCAAAGAAAATTTTGTCATTTGCAATCATAGTAATTTCCTCTACTTTTGTGAATACCATGTTTTGCATAAATGTGCATCGTCATGAATGTCAGTATAACTGTAAGAGATTTAAACTTTGGAGACAAACAAGGAAAGGCGGTTTGGAAGGAAACTGGGAGAAAAAGAACCGGACTCCGTTTGGGAAAAAAAAAACAGATCTGTTGAGTTGTAAACAGTTGAACCTGTATTGCACTTTTTCACAATTTTTGGAAAGTACATTTCTTACATATCTTGTGTTTTAAATATCAGAAGCTGTTTGTGTAATGTAGTGTCCTAGATAAGCAGCAGGCAGCTGGTCTTTTTTTTTTCTCTCTCTCTGTTTATTATTTTTTTGCTTCAGAGATGATATGAAAAGAGCGACTGAGTTGTTTCACTCGGCGGCTCGTGATGAGGAATTATGTTGTACCGCTTGTTCATGTACAGAGCTTTCTTTGCTTTCTGTAGAAGAAAAATAATCTGTGGCTTTTTAAAAAAATGTTGAAAAAGTTTTGGAGAAAAAAATGTTTTTTTATTGGTGCTCCTATACATTGTGTATACAAGCTATTAAGAATACTAACAAAGTAAACGTTTTTGCTCGTCTTTTTCATCTGAAATGGTTAAAAAGCTCAGTTGGAGCTGACAAAGGATTTATTCTTATATGTAACATTAGTAAATAAGTAGGTCAATGAGAGATCACACTCTGCCTACAGGCACATTTAAATAACCTAGAATATCATCTGAACTGAAACTTTCATGGCTTACATTTAATTAAAATATAAGATTTAATTTCTCTACAAACTTAGAGCCAACTTAATATGGTTAAAACATTAGAGACCACTTTAAGGAAGACAACCGATAGAAGGCTAATGTTGAACAATCTACCTGTTATCAAAGCACAAACAAGGAAAGTTGAGGGGAAGGAAAAAGTGTGGTTGAAAAAATGGTTGCACTAAAGTGTTTATAACTGCAAGTTTGAGATGACTGAAAACTTTCTCACCTGGAAAGAAGAACCAAGTTGCTGTGCAGTTCAAATCTCTTTTTGCATAAAAAAGCACATTCTGCAATTAAAATCAAAATCCCAGTGAACAAACCAAGCATAAGTATATGTATGCAGGTATCACTAAATGCATACTGATGTTTTTTAATCATCTCAGTAGTATTAAGCAGACTTTTACTATAATCTTTTTGTTATAATTTTTTGTTTAAACTTTTGAAACACATTGACAAATTAATACTGTTGTTATTTACTGATGCAATTCTGATGAAATTACAGTTGGTGGCGGTTCTACACCAAATGTACCACGGGGACAGGAAGGGGTCAGCAGGTTTCATGGGGGCACAGAAAAGCATGAAATAAAAAACAGGGCAAGGGATTCAAATATAGAAAACACTGATAAACAATGACACATGAAGTGAAATTTCTATTCAATTAGGTTTAATTAAATTCTGTTTAGGTCAATATACATTCATAATTTAAAATTTTACAGATTTTCGACTTAATTTAAGTTAAAATATTCCATTGTCTATCAAATCAGAATTAGAACTCAATAAAAACTGATCCAGCTGTAAAAAATACATTTAGCAGATGAAAACTAGAATCTTATCTCAATATCACTGAAGGTTTCACCTTATTATTTTTAAATAATTAGTCAAACGGAATTTGTAAAGAAAAAACAAAAGAAATGGAACCAAATGACCTATCAGTAACCATTGAGCCCGTTAGGAATTTTAAACAACACAGAATTAGCTATAAATGAATATTTCAGGTCTAAAAAGTTTAGATTTTTATTTTCTGGTGTGTCTATGAGGTTGAAACAATGATTTTTCCAACCTAATGTAAGGTGTATACATTTTTTTTTCTCCAGGGGTCACATTTGCAAAAAAAAATAAATTTGGTGTTAATCACCTGTATTACGTTTGTGCAGCAAACAGCAAACTTGTTTCCAAGTTAAAATTTAACTATTCATATTCATAGATTAACAGTTTCAGCATGAACAGATGTTCACTGGCCTCTACAAACTATTATTAATATCATTAAAATGATGGCAGTACAAAAATGTTATATATCTTAAAATATGGGGGGCTGGTTGGCCTTTTGACCTTTAATCTTTCATTGCACAAACAAAAATTTATGCTACACAAACCAGCACTAATGTGGCACAAACGTTTGACACCAACTTTGTCTGATTTCATAAAAGAGGGGAGGCTGGTTGATCTTTACCTTTTCATTAATATCTTTAAAGCCAAAGCAGCACAAACGAAAATGTTTGCTGCATAAACCAGCAAAAACGGAGTCGAGTTAATTGTCTGATTTGAAGAAGGTGGGGGGGCTGGTTGACCTTTGGTGACCTCTAGAAACATTTCTTTATATCATTAAATGATAGAGGCACAAACAAACATTTTTTCTGCACAAACCAGCACAAATGTTTGACACCAGTTTTGTCTGATTGGAAGAAGGTGGGGGGGGGACTTCACTCGGGTATTGCAAGCACAGGAATTACATGTGATGTTATGCAATAACTTTATATCAGGAACGAGCGCAGCACTAATCTTAAGTCCAACCAGAATTCTGTTAATTACTGGAGCCTTGTGGAGCCAAATTAATTACATCTTCTTCAAGTGCTTTACTCTTTTACTAAATGGTGTATTTATAAATCAGTTAAGTTCTTTGTAAGTTATTATTGTTACCTTTGTGAACATAAAATGATAAACAGTTTAAAAAAAGGATCATCTTAAATATTTAACATTTTTTATTTTATGCATTAAAATCTAAATTTGAATTAAGTTCTTGCACTGCATCATCATTAATGATTGATTTATTTTTGAAATTTCTCATCTAAAATACTTGATATCCTTTTAATTGAACAAAAAAGGAGATGTGGTGGGGTATTGCCACACTTGGAGCATTATGAACACTCCTTTTCTCAGTTTATTTTAGGACGTGCAAATTGGGTTATTTTTTGGGCCACAGGGCCAGGGCAGGTAGACCCAGTCCACCCCACAGGCCGAGGGGTGCTGGTACCTATCTTCAGCCATCTACGGGGGAGAGGCGAGGTACAACCTGGACACGTAACCAGTCCATTACAGGGCAACACAGAGACAAACAGGATATACAACCATTCATGCACACACTAACACATAAGGAGAATTTAGAGAAGCAGATTAATCTAACAGTCATGTTTCTGGACTGTGTTAGGAAGCCGCAGTAACCAGAGAGAACCCACGCATGCTCAGAGAGAACATGCAAACTCCATGCAGAAACATAGTTTCCCTAAATGAAGTATAAAAAAAACTTTTATATTGTTGCTGTCGAAACTATCATTACTACTAATATCTTCTAATATTCCTATTAGAAACTATGATATTGTTACGCAGTTATTAGAGTGAAGTCAAACAGTTTGCTATTTGGCATTGTTGTGTAATAGAGAGTGGACACCAGCAGGAGGCGCTGTAGCCATTCTCCAGACCTGATTCCGTCACTTCCGGTCGAGACGCTCTAACTGACAACAGGGACTATGGCGTCCAGCTCGGACCGGAATCCTCCTCCTTTCCCAGCATCAGAGGAGCCAGAGCCTGCGGCGTGTGACATGGCAGACGGGGACAGCGACGAAGGAGAGGACATTTTTGTTAACAACGTATGTGTCCGGCTGTGTCAGTTTATCTGCATTGTGACAAGAGAAGCTGGAAGAGTTCAGCCTCTTTATCTGATCTGAGCTGCTTCTAACAACTGAAAACCTTTGACAGTTCTGAAATTAAAAGAAGATTTAGTCGTAAAATTGGCCAAAGAGGCATTTTGGTTAAATCGTTTGGAATTATTCATCAGAAACTAATGGTTGTAATTCAACCATCAGCTAACACTGGTAGCTTTTAGTTGGTCTACATAGGTGTTTGTGTTATGTTAGTACATTTCAAGGCGTTATAGTTTTAATGCCTAGGTGAACATTTTGCTTTTTTTATTTTAAATATTTATTTATTTATGCTAATCATAAATTAAGTATTCTCCCTTTTCTACATTTGTTTCGTTGTTAGCAGATATAATCAGGGCTGGGATTTACCATTAGGCAATACTAGTCAGTTGCCTAGGGCCCCAAGTTCCTGGGGGGGCCCATAAAACTCTGTTTACATGTATGGTTAATACAGCTATGACTTATTTGTGCACATTAATTATGTTTTTGATAAAAAATACTTTTGCTAAAATGCCATCAGAATGCTTATAATAAATGTGTCTCAGCCCTCCCCCCTTCAGTGTCCTCATTGGATCAGTCCATTTGCTGCACATGTTCAGAAAGGTTCAAACAAATAGCAACAAATCATTTCAAAACAAACTATGTGAAGAGCAGTGTTGCCAACGTAGTGCTTTAGTCGCTATATTTAGCGACTTTTCAGACCCCTCCAGCACTTTTATTTTTAAAAAGCGCCTAGCGCCAAATCTAGCTACTTTTTGTCTGTTACTGGAGACTTTAGCGACAACATAGAAAAGCAGCAAACTCTGCTTTCCATAGCAAATAGATTGGTAACCCTGCCTCCTGCTCTCCTCTATCTTGTCTGCTGTCATGATTCATGCTGCCAATATTTAATCCAAATGAAAAATGGAGAATCAGATCAGCCTACAGTGAAAATAAGGACTGTGTTATTTACTTTTGCCGTAGCCTTTTTGGAAACACAGAAAGGCGCTTAGTCATTGGAAAAAATCATTACTTTTGAGACAGCATGAAAAGTCAGCTGAGTACAAAGCATAAAGAGGAAAACAAGAAGAAAAGGGACAAGAAGAGAGGGAGAAAACCTAGAACCAATAATGGATGTCTATTCTATTAAAATTTCTGTATCTGTATAATGGGTCTGTTTTATGTGTTGTTTTCTCAATCCAGAGGGCCCCCTGCCTGTCTTTGCCTAGGGCCCCAAATTTCCTAAATCCGCCCCTGCTGATAGATGCTCGCTGTTTGCGTGGTTGGACGTTTCTGAGTCAAATCTCGATATTTTGCAGAGCCACCCGGCTTCCGTCAGTCGAGGAGTTTCTCAACCAGAGGAGCCTGCAGACCTGTTCAGTGAGGAGGCCTCCTCTGCCAAACCTAACGGAGTTCATTCTGATGATGATGATGACCTGTTTGCAGGTGAACAGACCAGCACTAACAGCTATACTCACTGACCCACCTCTAAATGATTT